AAAAGCAGCCTCATTGAATCACATGTTGCTTTGTGCACTTTTGGGCAACTAATTCAGGTGCGTGGTGGCCCTAACTCTGTGGATAGTCTCTGAAGTGGGAGTGAGAGGTATTTCCAGAGAATCTTTGAGCTGTGAGTCTGTGTTTTACCATGGGCTCAGCAAGAAGACCAAGCTTCAGAGTTTGAATGCTCTGATGTTATTTCACTGACAAGTGTCGTGGCCTTAGCCCTGATGAGTGGCTTTAGCATCTTTCACTGTCTTTTACTATAACTTCTTTCACCTTCAGTGCTAATGAGAGGTTTGCTCAGAGAACTGCTGCTTACTACCACCACCACAGCTTCTCACTCAGCTCACTTCAGGCCCTTGGCTGTGCGGGCATTGCCTTTGCATGTTGCAGTTTGTAATGGCTGGTAGTGTTCTGTGGTTCAGTGCCTCATAGTGTCAGCAATGATGCAGCTTTGATTTGGGGTTATTGCAATGTGTGTTCTTTCTTTTTCCTTTCCTGCTGCATGAGAAGCAGCAGTCTGGCAGCTTTAAGCAGTACCTAAGCTGAGTCATGTAATGTTCTGTGGGTGAAGAGCTCAGACTGAGCTACCTGGAGTGCAGCACATCTTGGCTAGCTGTTAGACCTGATCCACATGATGCTGTACACTCCTAGATTTAGTGTATGGCTTAGGGCTGTGCTTTCCTCCTCCAAAGCTTCTGCAGAGCTTGAAAGACCTGATTGTTGTGCAGGTGAAATAGGCATTAGGGAGGGATAAAGCTGCTTCCCCAAAGCAGACCCAGCCCAAGGAGCAGGTGCCAGTCATAGGTCCAGCAGCTTGATGGTTTGAAATCCAGGCTGAAGCTGTAAAACAAGAGGTCAAAATGACAAGTTCATCCTGCCCTTTGCTTAGCAAACCTGGTTTATGTCTTGTCTTTATCTGAGTTGATGCTCAGCAGCAGGTTTCATGTGTCTGGCACCCTGAGTCTGCCATGCAGCCTGATGAAGTGGTATCAACAGCTTTAGCAAGAGCACGTCATCTGGCTGATGATTCCACGTGGACATGACTTGTCTGCGGGTGGGACATTTGTCCTGGGGCCTCATCTATATGCTTTTATAGACATGAATCCGTAACTGCAGCCCCAGAATAGTTGCGTGGCTGTATCTCCATGAGGAGTGTTCAAGGCCAGGATGGACGGGGCACTTGGTCTAGTGGAAGGTGTCCCTGCCCCAGCACGGGTTGGAACTGCATGAACTTTAAGGTTCCTTCCAACCCAAACCAGTCTGGGATTCTGTGAATACAATGCTAATGAACTGGGATTCATGACAGCAGGCAGCTGAGAGTTTGAGAATAATGCTGCCTAACTCAGAGGCACATGTCAGTGAATCACATCAGACATGAGCCTTGCCTGTGTGTTAGCATCAAGGCCTTTGCTAGAGTGACAGTAGTGCTTCCTCTGCTGCCACTCATGTGGTCAGTGGAGCTGAAAGGAAGAAGTTATACAGGCACAGAATGTACAATCTGTCCCTGGAGATAGTGAAGGATGCAGCATCTTTCTCCAAGGGATTTGAGTTTGGTCCCATAGTGATAATACCCAAGCATTGGGAAGTACTTTTCATGTGAGGAGATTAGGTCGTGGAGTACACAGAAATCCTTCCTGCAGTCCCTGTTTCCCTGCTGTGGCTGGGAAGCCATCTAGAAGACTCACTGCAGCTTAAAAGACTCTCTTAGATCATCTGACAGCAAAAGCAATTTCTTTGTTGCTGGAAATGAGAAGAGAATACCCTGTAAGCAAGAAGAAGAGATCATGGACTGGGTTGTGTTGCTGTATAACAGTTAAATATTCATGGGTTTGCTGCAGACAGCTCCAGTCTTCTCTAAAATGTGCTTATTCTTGTTTCTGCTCAGTGTGTTACAGTACATTTTTGTTCTGCTTTGAGTTTCCTTCCCATAACTGTCTGGCTTCATCTTGGTAATATTATCTGAAACAAAGCTCTAGGTTTCTTTTTGAAAGCATGGTGCACATTCAATCCCGGCTATGGCAGAGACTGGTCTTTTCCTGTGTCTTAAGGTAGTAGAAATCAGGATTTGTCTCTCAAACAAGTACAAAAAAGGATAGTTGACAAAAAAAGAGTAACTACAAATGGGAGGTTATGGACATGCACTCCCTTCTTGCTCTTTCTGGTCATGGCAATGTGGATGGAGAGGATGATGTTGGTACTGTAAGAAGCCCTCCTTTCTGACAGTGGAGGTGAGGGAGATAGTAATGGAAATAGCTGTGGTTAAATGATTCTGGGTTTAAAGCCTGTCACAACATAAATCAAAGTTACCCCTGGAGCTCCTGTGGCTACCACTGGTTGCCTATAGGGGACCTTTCCTCCTTGGTTTAGTGCCTTTGCCATCAGACATGAGATTTAGTGCTCTAAGTCTGCAGAGTCTTCCTTTCAGGTAGATATCAAAAGCTGGACTGCCTGTAAGTCACTCTGCAGTGCATGAGGAGGGAGTTTCTGAGAGACAGGTCAGTATTCAGAGACGATGTATCAGCCAGCCTGGGAGAGGCTTCTTGGACTGCTATGTTTGCAGAGAAGCTTTACAGCTGATGTTGGAGTCATAAGAGAGAAATCAGTCCTGAGGTGAAACCAATACAATTCTCACACCTATGCGCTCTCATTGTGAAACAGTAAAAGTAGCACCAAAGTATCGTAAAGATAGTGTCAAAATCACCCTAATTATTTCAACATAAGCAGGGTCCCACAGCTGCCTGTGAAGGGTTGCTCTGCATTAGATGTTAAATAGGGCTCATCTAAATTTTATAGCAACTGACTTGATGCAATTCCCTCCTACATGAATGGGCAAAGTTGCTTTCTTCTACTTTTCCCTGTGAACTGTGTAGGAAGGCAGTGTGGGGAGTTCTCCACTGGCACATTTTAGCTGGAGTGGACAAAGCAGAGGCTGTCATACTGCAGCCATCTATGGCTGCTTTCTCACTTGTGACAAGAAGGATTTTCTAGGAGAAATAAGACTTTCCAAGCTTCATTTCCTGTTACTTCTTGAAATCACATCCAGGTTGGCTGCTGGAAAATAGAGTCTGACAGATCACAGACTTTGATTCCTAGCAGTGGCCAGATCCTTGCTCCAGCAGGAAGAGAGGCTGACCACGTGGCAGCATACCTGGGATCACCACTGATCCACAGCCTGTACTGTGGTTCTTCCTGAAGGTTAGCTTTTTACCTTGGATTTCCCAGCATGCATCCTCTGTGTCCTGGTTGGAGCTGGAGCATTATAATGAAGGTTTCCATGAAAATGTAGGCTGTTTGACTATGTATATCCCTTCCCTTTTCCTTCTTCTGAAAAGCTCAGAGACTTGAGGTTTAGTGAAGAAGCAGCTTGAATCAACAGGACACTGGGGTCTTGCTGCATTCCTATTTTGTAGGGCTTGTCTGTGCTCACTGTGATTTGCCAGTGTTGCATGCAGGAGCTGGCAACAAACATTGGAGACAGTGAAGATCTGATTCTTTAAATCAGTGATTTCTTATTTTTCCTCTGATGATATTTTCCAAATGTAATATCACAGTGGAGGCTGGTGAATTAATCACAGGACAAAATGGACAAATCCACTGAGAGATGTCAAAGCTCTTGGTTTGGTGTAGTCATGTTGACTGAAACTGGGTGAAAAGCAAGATCCCCTGTTCTGCCTTTAGGCAAACATCTGGTGAAGCACAGGAAATAGAAGAAGGAGGAAACACAAAAAGTTACTGGAGCAGAAAGGCAGATGTCAGAGAGGGTTTAATATTATTAAAATTAATTTCATTTTCTGGGTGTTGTTTTTAAACATTTGTAGGATGTTACGAAGTGCCTATCATCTGCTGAGCAGTGGAAGAAGGAAATATTTTGCATAATTATGCAATTGAACAGCATTAGAACCCTCGTAATCCAGAATGGACGCTTCATCGGGCAGTTAGTCCAGCTTCTATCCATAATACAAGTCCTGATGAGGCCACGTTGAAATGGAGTTCTTTTTTTTTCCTTTTTAGAAAGGTCTGTCCCCATGAGATGAGGGCAGATTAATGACTGCTGGGAATCAAAGTAGAGTCTTTAAAATAGTGAAGCTACTCTGAGGTGCACCACCTGAACTTATGACTCTAAAGTAAACTTTTTAAATTTGTTTCAGTCTTGAAATGAATCCTCCTCACTGTGAACTCTAGCTAAATGCATCTGTACTTCTGGAACGTTCAATATTGGTGTAGATGTGAACATCGCTTCTTCCCATACCAGAACTTGAGGAACGTGACTTCCCAAAGCCACGTTTGTTCCCGGACTGTGCCCATGCCTACTGAGCATGCAGTCACAGCCAGTTCTCATGAGTGACACATCCTTAAACTGGCACTCGTACAAGTTGCTTGCTTGGCTGTGCAGAAAATGGATGAGAAACAAAATAAGGTGCTGAAACTGGGAAACACTACATTTCCGTAAAGCTGTGACCTAAATGCGGGAGTCTTTTTGCCTATCCATGAGTATGTGGCAAAATAAGACTTACAGATATGTGTCACTTGTGGTGACATGAGCACAAGAGAAATGTCCTATTTTGGTTGCAGGCGAATTCTTTCCCTTCCATTTCATTAGCTAATTAGAGCATTCCTTTAACAAAGCCCTTTTCTGCTGCATGCTCAATGCAATCTTGGAGAATTGAGGTCTGCTCAGCCTGATCCTGCAGTGCCTTTCGCATGTGACTCCTGTTCATGTCAGTGGGTGCTCTGCACATTGGCGAGTCACTGGGTTGGACCCTGGGAATGTTCAGGGTCTCCAGAAATGGTTCCAGATTCATGTTTTTGGTATATCACTTAATTGGAGCTAATGGTATGGTTGTAAGAAAGCAAATGATAGATTAACAATGATGGACTAATGAGCTTAATCCATTAATGTCCTTTCTAGTCATAAAACACTATCTTTTCTCCTAGCCCTATTTTGACAGATCAAGACAGCATACAGGTAAGAGATGTCCTTTGTGCATTTCAGGCAGTGGAGAAGGTGTTTGCAGTACCAAAAGGATTTTACTGGCAGACAGTTGAAACTGATGACAAATACTTCCCTAATAGCAGCAACATCAAGGCTTGCAGAGATACAGACACCAAGGTAAAAGAAAAACCCCAAACCACTCCTTTCTGACTTATGGGAAGACTTATGTGGGAAGATGAGAGATGATTAAGTGGCCTGGAATATTTTAATCTTGAGTTTTGGTACAAATACTGATCTTGAAGTATTTCTCACTCAGACCTATATATATCAAATGAGTATTTTGTGTCATCAGTATTGATATGCTGATTGCTCTGAGCCACAGAAGATTAAACTGTGAAATGAGGAGACTGAAGAAATTGCTACCAGCTAGGGTGCAAATCAGTAACAGGAGACAGTATTTTGATAGCCTAAACCCACTTGACTGTAAGCCAGTATATAATACAACTTATCTAAACCTTGTGCTCAGAAATGTTCAAAAAAACTAATTCTGAAGCTTCTGGTACCACCTGACCTACAGTAACTGTGTTTATTCTATGCACAAGTAGGATGCAGTTCTACTTGGTTTACCACAGAGGAAGAGAAGGTTAGGATAACTTAGGTCATATTTAGGAGTACATACCAAAATGCACTGGACCTCCAACCACAATAACTTGTTAACTGTAGTAACTTACCTTTCTTAGCTCTTGTGCAATACCAAACAGCATGTTTGATCTGACAGAATTCAGTTTCCTGTCAGTGTTGATTCAGGGAGATGCAGATACACAAAGCTTCCTCTCAACACTTAACAGTTCATGCCCAAGCCATTGCTGAGATGTACCAGGCTTGCTCCTGGAAGGTACTTGAGGTCCACATATAGGAGCTGAGGATACCTTATGCACAGTTGGAAAATGCCTTATGTCTTTGTTACAGCTCCTCGATGTGCCTCAGGAGTGCTGGAGTGGGTCTGTACAGGCCTCTCACAGCAAGGGCAGGGTGCTCTGTAAGAGAAGGCTATCTGGGAGCAGAGAGGGTGCAGTCCCATAGTATCTAAGCAGGGAAAGCAGAGCAGGCCCAGCAGCTGTAACCAGGCTCAGCCAAAGAGTCCACAGTGACAAGCTCAAACCAGAAAGCCTGTGGGTTAGGGTAACAGCCAGAATTAGTGACCTGTGACATAAGAAGGATGTGGAACTGTTGGAGCAAATCCAGAGGAGGCCATGGAGATGCTGCAAGGGCTGGAGCAGCTCTGCTCTGGAGCCAGGCTGAAAGAGCTGGACTTGTTCAGCCTGGAGAAGAGAAGACTCCGGGGAGACCTTAGAGCTGCTGCCAGTGCCTGCAGGGGCTACAAGAAACCTGGAGAGGCCTTTGGACAAGGGCCTGTAGGGACAGGGGGAATGGCTTTAACCTGACAGAGGGAAGACTGAGATGAGCTCTTAGGCAGAAGTTCTTCCCTGTGAGGGTGCTGAGGCAGTGGCACAGGGTGCCCAGAGAAGCTGTGGCTGCCCCATCCCTGGCAGTGTTCAAGGCCAGGTTGGATGGGGCTTGGAGCAACCTGGTCTAGTGGAAGGTGACCCTGCCCGTGGCAGGGGGTTGGAAGTGGATGAGCTTTAAGGTCCCTTCCAACCCAAACCAGCCTGTGATCCTATGAGACTGGGCAAAGGCATACCTGCAGCAAAGCTCAGCAGAGGCCAAAGGCAAGTACCTGAAGCCAAAGCAGAGGCAGCCGGGCTGGTGCTGAGGCTGTGCAGTGCTGGAGAGCTGCATTAGCAGAGCTGGCCCTGGGCCCAGGCAGCTGAGCTCCAGGGACTCAGAGGAGCCACAGAAAAATTTTTCCTTGCTGGCTGCTGAATATTGGGTTAATAGCAGGAGAGCTTGAGCTAGACAAACATAAAGAAATAGAGCTTTTATTCCTAATTAGACCACTTTTTTTATGATTTAAGTAAATTTATATCTTCATTTATCATGATTGTATAGGCCTTATAACGTGTTTATGGGGGAGTAGCATTTCATTTAAAGTGTCCAATAGTGATGAATTCATTTGGCATTCACCGCAGCCATAAAGCTTGCTGCTGGGGAGAGCGTTGAGTTGTCTTCTATCCAGGAGGACCATGCACATGTTTGAGGCCATTACAATCATACTTGTCTGATCTACAGCTGGACAATTTATTACCCATAGCACCACACAACTTCCAGTCATAAGGAGTTTGCTTCTTGAAAGTATATTTCTTCTGATGAAAAAGTGATAATAATTTGCGTCCTTTTGGGTATAGACATTCAGTCTGTTTTGGTGTATGTTTTCCTACAGACCAGGATGGGCTGAATTGCACTCATCTGGTAAAGAAAATTTCAAAATGTAAATGTGGTACAGAACCAGTGATGTGTCTGCCTTTTAATTTTGTATTTTTTAATGTTGGCTTTGACATTTTTATGTATGTATAAAGAAACAACCAGTTTGTCTATTATTATTTAACCATATTTCTGTATTATGTGAAGTTTGACAGCAGGAGGGCTGCGCTTCAGGCTCTGCCCCAGAGAATTTGCAGGTTTTTTACTAGAAGGTTTATGTGACAAAAGGCACAGTCATATTAGCAGAAATAGTCAATCATAAGTATCATAACTATCTGTAATTCAATCTGAAGCCGAATAGCGTGTGAACATAAAAGAAAGCCACTTTGTAGCTCTTACAATGTGAATAAAGCATGGGAACTAAAGGTGAGCAGAAAAGATACAGCTGTATGGTTGTTGAGGGCTTGGAAGCATTTAATTCACTTTTCCAATGTGCTCTTGCTGTTAAGGTTGCCATGGTGCTGCTGTTTGAAAGGCTCTTCCAAAGTCCCCTGGCTACCCATCGCATGTTGCAGCTGGTACTCAGTGCAGGTCTGGATACCTGTGGACTCCACCTGCACTATCCTCAGCAGGATGTACTGCTCTCCTGCTCAGGTGAGGTCTGGTTTTCCTTCTGAAAACTGAGGTGGAGGCAAAGATCTGTGAATGTATGAAGGTGAAGAGTGATGTGATGCTGTGAATATGGGGAAGAGGGTATCAGATTTACAAGTGTTGCTTTATCAGTTCCCATCTCTTTCCCAAAAGAAATGATAGAAGATTCTGGGCTGATTCTTTCTTTCTGTTCCCAGTATTGAATATCCAGGAGTTGAATTTTTAAGTCTTGATATATTTTTGTGTCTCAAACAACTTCAGTTGTGTTCACTTGCAGTGATCTTTCCCAGATTGCAGTGCCTTGTGCTCCAGGGTTACTTGTGTGAGTTAAATATACTATATTAGCTCCCAGTGACTTTCCTGAATGTTCTAGCTGCAGAAAATCCAGCCTCCCCACAATTTCCCCCATCCTGTTGTCCATGGGACTTAAGAAGCATGGCAAAAGTACTGATCTAGCTGTCCTGTAATTGCATTGGCTGACAAACCGTCACCAAAATATCATATGTGCGAAGGGAAGCCGGTCTGAGATGGGAGACCAGCAAGAAAAGGTAAACAGAAATTATCTTGGTTTCTGAACTCAAATCACTGAGTCTTTAACATTGGACTCCAGTGTTTTCACATACTGCTATGCACCACTCAGGTCTTCATTGTTTTTCCATTTCTAAAACAGAGTTAATGATGTCTTTCTTAAAGCGTGTCCAGAATATTATTAGCTGCTAATGCAATATAACTGTAGAGCAACAGATGTTACATTAGCTGCTAAGCATAGAAATTGCCTGTGTTCTAGTATGGCTTGTACTTCCTTTTACGCCAAGAAGTTCTCCTGGCAGGTTTGTATGTGACACCATCACAAAGACAGGAAAAGTATTTCTCTTGGGGAAAGGTATAGGCAGACTGAGAGAAATGGGCTTCCTTTTCCTCAGGCAGAAGGTGAGTGAAGACCAGCTTAACCAGAGGAAAACTCTCCTGTCTCCCTACTCCCTATTTTCGTTTGAAAAGAACAGGAGCAGACTGCCTTAGAAATGATCTTACAGTTGGGGTTGGCTCGGTGCTGCGTAATACATTCATACTGATAGCTGGAGAAATTAAGGACTCCAGAAATGAATAAGAAAACCATAAAATCAACAGTCATTAGGAGATGAGAGGCAGCAGATCTGCTTCAATGCTCTGTACCATACACCATTATTTAGGAACATTTTGTATGAAGAGACAATTCATTTGAGCTGAGAACTGCTTATGTTAGTTTGTAGATTACATCTGTATCCTTAGCTTGAAAACTTTAAAATTATTGTTTTAAATATGTACAGCCAGTTTCTCTGTTATCTACCTACTCTGGAGACTTATATTCTGGCTTCTGATTCTTATGCAACAAATGAGGTAATTGAAAATGCTTTTAATCCTCAGGGAAAAAAAAAGACACACCTGGCATCTTTTTCTGACATCTGCAGTAAGAACTGAAGAGGAGCCAAATTTCTTCTGTTTCTGGGGTTACTTACTGGGCCCCAACTATGCTGACTGTAGACATAGAGAAAGGCTTGCCTGAGACATAAGGAAGAGTTGTTACAGGAAATAAAGGAAGCCTCAGCACAAGTCCTGGCAGGGGAATAAAGGAGCCCGATCAAATATTTGCCTGGATATGTTGTCTGACATCATAGTACAAAATCTGTATTGGAGGCAGAAGGAAATAATCTAGAAAAGAAGTCTGCAGATTTCCAGTTTGTGATCCCCTTCCCAGTTTTCTCATATCTGATGAACATCACAGAAAACATCTCTTTTTGGAAGCTTGTGTTCTTGTTCTTTCTTCCCTTCAATTCCCTGGCATTCCTCATGGGAATGAACAACCGCCTGTACAAGAAGTTAGTGCTGACTTCTAGGGTATCAGCTGCTCCATAGTAAAGAACCTGCGCATTCCTTGCCATGGCAAATCTGAGGCAACCAGCTCTTCTTTCTTTAACAGACTACCTTGAATAATCTCAGATTTACTGCTGTATAAAAACATCCAGCTGGTTGCCAGCATGTCACCCACAGGACAGGTAACTAGTAGGTTGAAGTCCAGTTATGACAAATCTGAAAAGAACACTTGAGTGGAATGAACAGCCTCAGGATGGGTTGTTCCATGTTGTAGTCACATATATGTCTGTCTTTCACAGGAAAGCTGCCTTCTTCTTGTACTTCAAAGACAAGCAAGGTTCCACCAGTGGTGGCATTGAGTGTGAGAGGGCCTGAAGCATACAGCACCTTGCAGGCCCCACAGCTGGCCAGCATGACGGAATGCAGCTCCATCAGTGCCATCTACTGCAGAAGCCCAGAGGATCCTCTCATCCACCTGCCCCTCCTGGATAGCTATGCACAGAGGGAGCTCTGCCTCTGGTTTGGAGGGAGGTCTGCTGCATCAGCACTGCATGCTGGTGTCCTGCGTCCAGATTCGCAGTGCGACAGAGCAACGTGATGGCCCTGCATGGTTTTGAACCGTGGTGGTTTCCATAGGCAAAGTGTGACATGGAGGCCAGACAGGCACCCAACTTGTCATGCTCTGTCTTTACCAGCCTTTACCCATGCCAGCATGGGTGACATGGATTAGTGGGAGGTGTCCCTGCCCATGGCAAGGGGGTTGGAACTAGATGATCTTAAGGTCCTTTCCAACCCTAACTATTCTATGATTCTATAATTCTGTTAAAGGTCTCAGTGAACAAGAGTGCAGGGTGGGAGCAGTCTTCCTACTTTTATAGCTCCAAACCAGTTACTACTCTGTGCAGACGTCCCTCTCTTACAGGACAGTCTCTTCTGCAGCACCTAATACGTGTGTCAAGGTGTCAGACGTGAGGCTCTTGCAGTTGCTCCCCATTACTTGTTTCCTGGTAGCTACGCATGTAATTAATACCCTTGCAGCATCTGCTCTTGTGCCTGCTGTCCCATATCTAGCTGATCAGACTGATTTTAAACCTCCTCCAGCTGTGCCTGGTGCTGCGGAAGGGCTGCAGGGTGTTAAAGATCCCTTTTCATCCTTGATACTGGGTGCCATGTGGCAACAAGCTAGAGGTGAGGGAATCCACAGCCCATTGATGCTCTCTGCAGAGTGGCAAAGTGCATCCATGTAGAATTAACTTGATGCTCATGGAGGGATTGTGTGTCAGAGTTCAGTTCTGCTGGGCCATGAACTCTCATCATTTCTACTTTAAAGATTTGAAAAAAATAAATTCGGCAAAGTTTCATTTTCTTCATTTATTTGTTCATTTTCCCCAGGGGTGCTTTTTTTGTCTTACAAAGATGATGAATTCTGCTCGTCTGGTATAACTTAGCCAGTCCAGAGCACCATTACATTCTAAATAATGCACTTGTCTTTCTCCTAATGCTGGTGATTTGGTCCATTGGGGGACAAGGTACAAACTGCAACTCAGATTGCAGTTTTCAGATTATATTTGCAAATGCCATGGTCTCCTGGGAGTGAAAAACTAGGATGTATTCCAGCCAGCTCAGTGATGTCAAAGGATGAGGCAGGCAGCTTTGCCTGAGCAGCCTGTGCTTCCCAGACCCAGCCAAACAGTTTCACACACTGAAGTCTGAGTTATTGTCAGCTCCTGGCTTTCAGAACCACACCTTATGTTCACTGTGCTGTGATTTATGCTTTCGGGTATGCAGGGGTGTTGTGGAGGTTTCATCTCTGCCAGACTTGGTTGTTCGTGTTGTCCAACAGCAACCTTTAAAACTGGCTGAACTTGGGCTAAAGAACCAGAAGTGAGCAGCAGCTATGATGTATACGTGGGTAGGAAAAGTTCTGGTGATGCGACCTGACACATTGCTCAGTTCCCAGATTTCTTTGCCAAGCTGGCTACTCTGCATTAGCTATCTTTAACTGAACACAGAGAGCCTTGGGGGGAGTAATAGAAAAAGATGTTTAGTCAGAGAGACCTTGAGGCAGGTCATGTTATGGTCAAAGGATTGAAATGGCTTTTCCAGTAAAGTAGTTTTACCAAAGAAGCTTCTGCGGCCCTGGGCTTGTTGCAGAAAGTAGGTTTGAGTCAGAACCTGGTGTAACAGCTTTTAATATTTATTGCTTTTCTTTAACTCACACAGCCCTTTGTCAACTAGGGCAGAAGCAGATGAAGAACAGGTTGATCGCCAGGACATGGTGCTGTCTCAACCTCTAGCAATGCTTGTCTCAAGTACCTAAGGTCAGTGTTAGGGAAGGAATTGTGAGGTGTTATGGTTCTCTGACAATATTACGTTACTGCAGTGCACCTGTGTCAGGACATTCTGCCCCACTGGATTGCTCAGTGCTGTAACCTGGCCAATTCTAGAGGCGAATATGAATTTCTAGTGAAACCCTGCTGTTTAAAATGAAGTGACAGAGGAGCACGATCATATCATTCTCCTTGTGGGAGGAGATGCTGGAGTCCTGTAGGCTGCTTAGCTTTCACTGAAAGGTAAAAAAAGAAGAAACAAGACAACACCCCACAGGAAATCTCTGCACGGGACCTGATCTGCAAAGAAACAGTCACGTGAAAGACCTACCAGTGCCCTTAAACTGCATGTTTAACTGATTAGAGGTCACCTACCTCTACTGGTTGAAGAGTCGTTGTTGAGGGGATGAAATGGTTAAGACTTCATTTAGGGCAAGACTGACCACACAATCACAAAGGAAAGTACTTCATAGGGCTGATATTAACTGGCTATCACTTGCCCCTGCCCAAATCGCCCTTGTCTCTTTCTTACGATGGTGTATAACTCAGGTAGCCTGGCAGACAGCCATTGGCTTTGTGCTATTTGGGATTGGTATCGATGGCAGCTGGTTGCTGCTGATGGAATGAGTCACATTCTCTGCCTCCCCTTCCTTTTATGGCCATTAATGATTCACATTTGATGTGGGCTGCTGAGTTACACCACACCACGTTCCATCTGTATTTGGGCTCAGGAAGTCACTTTTAAGCTTTGCTCCTCAGATAGATAACTCTTATCGTGACTCTTGGAAGAGAAGCTGAAAATGTGGTCTGGGAGCAGACGCCCTGGGGTGTTTAAAGGAAATGAAACTCACTGACTCCTTCCCTCAGGTTTCCAGCAGCTTCTCTTTGAGACAGGAAGATAAATCCATGCAGAACATTCAGAACAGATACACTGCAGCTCCCACCAAGTATATCTGCCCCTCCTAAGTAATCAGACCTTTACCAACCCTAGCAGGTGTTCTTGTTCACAGAATCCCAGACTGATTTGGGTTGGAAGGGACCTTAAAGCTCATCCAGTTCTACCCCCCTGCCACAGGCAGGAACACCTTCCACTAGACCAGGCTGTTCAAAACTGATTTCGATATGTGTATTACATAAAAGATGCTTGGGTTTTAAAGTGTTATCAACTACAGAGGAAATAAAATCTTACCACCTGCAACTCTGAATTTTGTCAGTTCACATATAATTAATGTGGCACTAATGTCAGTCTGGCTCAAAGCCAGCAGAATTAAAGCCAAAACCCTAAAGAGACATTTTAGGCAAAGTACCCTGCCTGTCCCATCTTTGGTAATAGACATAAACTTTCCCTTGCTTTGTTGCAATGGCTTTGAACTACCAGGTCAGATTCCTGGGGGTACAGATATTCCTATATAAAGTCCAGAACCAAAAGAAACATTCACTGCTGATAGTCCTGCCCCCAAATCACAAGTGTAATTGGGACACAGAAACTAAAATACTCCAACCTCATTATATCATTTGATCAGAGCTAAAAGTGAATAATGGGACAGTGTAGAAGAAACCCATGTAGAAGTGATACTGAGGATTTCTCTTCAGAGCTCACTCTTGGCAGGCTGTGGAGATCTGAATGTACATTGTGTGCAGAATAAAAAGCTATAGTAGGACTAGGGCAGTGTAGTAATGAAGGTGGTGTTAAAAGCAGAGACTCGTGATAAGATTAGAGCAAAGTGAAGACCTCAGATCAGAGGCTTCAAGGAAAAGTCTTGAGCTTGTCCTGTAGTACCTAAATGGGGCTTAGACACTGCTCAGGAGGTCTTGTAGGCTCTTTCCCCTAAGTTGGCTCATAGCATCTGTTGTCGCCAAAGGCAGTGAGTTTGGGATTGAACTTGGAAAACAGGAGCCTAAAAACCCAAGGTTCTAACCCGATGTAAACTCCAGTTGCTTCTACAACCTTATTTACTAGGATGAGGGATACAAGGAGAGAATGAGCAGCCAGACCTAGTGGATGAGAACTGGGTAGGAGAGAAAAGGCTGATACCATTATCATAATAACCAAGGACAGGAGCCACAGGAGGTACCAAACCAAAGAGTGAGGTGAGGTTATGATCACAAACTGGTCCAAAGATTCAGGAGCTTGTGCTGCAAGGCAAGCTCTGGGGAAAGGTTAAAGACAAGACTAAAGAAGGAACAAGAGGAAACAGAAAGGTAACAGCTCAAACAGCCTGGCAAGGACTGATGTGAACTGAGAGCACAGATACCCCAAAGGTAGGTGAGTAGCTATTAGATAACTAGATGGACCTGATGAGATGGACTGTCTGGGGTAGATGATTCATAAAGATATTATTGATGATGCCATAAGCTTTGCCATTCTAGGTTGGCATCTGACAGCAGTCATTATGAGCTGGATAGAGCAAATAAACTAGAAAATACAGTGTCACCATTTGGGATGTGGATCAAGTTGGAACTAGTCACTGTCAGAGTTGTCTTGCAGTGATACCATAGCTTCTGTAAGAATAATATGCTGCTTTTCTTACCCTCTTTTTGATCTAGGGGATGTCATTTTGATGGTGTCACCTGTGATATCTCCTTGTGCATATGGTAATGTGATTTCAGTCTGTACTTGTCGGGGGTTTGTCCTGCAAGGAGTCAGACAGCTGCAGCTTTCACCTGAGCAAGCTGCTGTGCTGAGCATGACACAAAGTCAGGTACTGGAATGAACGCATAGCTCAGCTGTGTAATTTGTGTCATTTTTCTTTAGTAGGGAAATCCCACCAGGCCTCAGCCTCTCACTGAGAACAGAAGTGTAAATTCATAATTGGGCCTCCTCCTCCTCCGTGTTTGCCTACTCCAAGCGGCAGACATGAATTTTACCACTGACTTCAAAATAAGCAAGAGCATGCAGTAGCCCCATAAACCAAAACAACAATTTCAGATCTGCAAAGGTGTATATTCAGGAGAATAGTCCTTGTCTGACAGATTCATGTTTGATTGTGTGCTTCATAGTCCCTGTGGGACTGCTTGTGGCCTTTCAGCATGAAGTCTCCTGGTTTAATGCATTCCAGATGGATTGCAAAAAGAGCTTTCTTATTGTCAAAAATAATGACTTTTCTTCTTTTTCTGTGAAGCTCTAACCTGATGATAGATTTGAGTTAGAGCGCAGTTGGCATTTTGACAAGTCAGCCAAAGGAAACAGCAATAATCATAGACAGAAGATTTCAATCAAGCTTGACATATGCAAGAAGTCCAGATCTGCACTTCTTAACATGATAAGTCACCCAGGAATCCTGTGATGCTTTCTTTTACCAAGGAGTGGACCCCTTACTCTAAATTACCATGCTTAGAGTCATTTGCCATGTCAATCAAGAGATGCATAATTTTGCAAACTAAATGGAGCACAACCCCTCTCTTCTCTAGTTGTTCTGTGATCAAGCCTGAGGAATAATGCTTTCTGTGCCCATAATATTTTGTGGAATAAACATGACTTGTCTACGGAATACTACAGCACAAATAGCTAAACACTGTGAGTATGTTCCTAAATGGCCATTTAAGAGAATAACAAGAGAAACTATTGCTTCAGTGTGCTGTCTGAAGCTAAATGTTTCTGAAAAATTATCCCTTTGTTTGGGATTCAAGATCATTTTTTGCATGAGTGACAGGATGGCACCACATATCAGCTGAGTTATAGGTGTTGTGGTTTTAGTCCAGCCCAACTGCAGGGCAGAACATTTTTATGTTAAGCCTCTTCCCTGAGGTTTAAATTAAGTTTCTTTGTCTCCTCAGTAGATGACACATGAAAGTAGTTTAATGTGGCCCTCATTATTGCAGGTGGCTGTATTTTGCCCTAGTAAGATTTCAAGTTCTCCTGACAGTTCTGCAACAGGAGAGTTCTCTGCTGAACTACACATGCACTGTCTTGTTTTGCTGCTGAAGAAGAAGAATGCTTGTCATCACATTCCTGCACTGGTGAAAGGTAATACCTCCACTGCTCAACAACCTGGGAAAAGGAGGGTTGCATTTCAGTGCATGTGAACTAAACATTAGCAGACTAACCATGGCTGTTGCATTGCAGGGAATATTTATTGGGAGTAGCAGGGCCCGGTAGTTTTGCCATATGTATCTCCAGACCAAGGCGTAACTCAGTCACTGCTACATATCCAACAGAGCAGATTGATCTATGCCAGGTTTTTGATCTTTAGCACTGGAGTCTTCTTGAACAAAAAGTAATTCATTTTGGAAGAGACCTTAGTTCTTTCATCCAGTGTCCTGCTCAATCCAGCATCAGCAATAAATTTGGATCAGGATGCTCAGGGCTTTTTTCAGTCAGGTCTCAAAATTCTGCAAGGACAGAGATTCCCCCACCTCTCTGGGCCTTTGTTCCAATGCTCGACCATCCTTATTGAATATTTTTCCTTTATATTGACTTGAAACCTCCTCTGTTTGAATTGGTGAACTTTGTCTCTTGGCTTCCTACTGCACACCTCCTTAGTGGGCCTAGCTTCATCACCTCAATAAACTCCTCTTGGGGTTCTTATTGCACAGAGAGGTAGGGTAGCAAAAAACAGGTATGTGAAAACAACATCTGATACTACCAACCTAAGCCCTGGGTTCTGTGTATTTGTCACTTCCAAGGATCTGAACAGTAACTCTGAACTGAACTGTAAGGACTGCCAAAAAACAGAAAAAAATGCTGCCCCAAGTCATCTTACTTGAATCAGACACTGTTCTGAGACTCTGATTCAGGAAAAGTCTCTGAATTATGAGCTGTCATTGTTCTCAAGCAGGGAAGATCACAGGCAACCGGGGTGATCAGTAGGGAACAAAGAACCCTGCCCTGCCTGTTTCTTCTTGCTCTGGCAGCAGGCACTTTGCCTGCAGCAGGATTGTTCATTCCTGCATGTCCTCTTCAGGCACCACTGCTGAGAGCAGAGGGTTACTGTTGCTGGCCCCTCCATTAATGCCACTTCAAATAGTACATGATGGAGATATTCAGCCACTGCTCAATTGCTGCCTTTAATCTATCCATAAGAGAAAAGAACATTTAGAAGTGTGGGTAAAAATGACAGTTCAAAAAGGCCTCTGCTTTTTCTGCTAAGACTATCACAGAATGCTCCGAAAGCAGACTAATTACAGCACCGTGTCACCTGCTGCCTATAGACCCAAGGAAGGTTGCTTATTATAGTACAGTTTCTGCTGCTGTTCTCAGAGTGCCACAGATGATGTTTACAGTGTTTACATGTTTCGCACAGGGAAATTTCTGCTAGAAATATATAGGTGGGCACTGGAGCAAAAGATATTCTGGAAAGGTAAACATTGTCCCTCACTGTAGAGAGCCATTTCTTATGGAAAGCTGACATTCTTGCCACACAAACTTTGGTTTGGCCTCTGGGAAGTGTAGAATAGCACTAGAATTTGAGTAGGGTAAATACCACACTGAGAAGTTTTGCATTTATAATCAGTACCCCTGAAGAGGAGTTACCCCTTCAAGGTCTTGACCGCTCTTCAATTGTCAAAGTAAGAAAACATTCAAATCCTTGCTGAATCTTTGCAAATCGTTCCTGAAATAGAACAAAGGTAAATGTCCTTGGTATCGGACCTCTATCTTGAGGATCAAACACCACAAATTTTTGTCCAAGCTTTACCTTTTGCCACACGTTGAGTTTGAGTAAACAGCAAGTAATGCTGCTGCTGTGGTTTGGTTATGCACGGCACCTGAATTTTGAAAAGCAGATACGTGATTGCCAGTGGTACAGGCTCAAATTCATGGTCAGAGCTATGTTTGACATCCAAGGTTTGTGATCAGCCTCTAGCACTAATAATCCATTCCTCACGCTACACTACAGTAGATTTTTGACAGGCTTGTATGGTAGAAAGCCATAAAATGTATACAAAGTAATTTAAAAAATAACAAGCCTTTAAAACCGTGGTCTGAAATATTATTACAGAAGGCTGAACTAATTGTAGAAGTGAACTGTATGCCAGTGCCTTAATGCACTGCCTGTGCATAGCCAGGCCTTTTAGAGGGAGAACAGGAACTGAGAGATTGCTGTTTTCTAGCACTTAGTGTCATCCTAGCAATGCCTCTCAGGCCCCATGGTTCTGGGAGGGATGCAGGATACTGGCCTTGCACTTTGAGGGCCTGCACTTGGGCACTGGGTTCCAGGTTTGTGACTTTTCTTCCTTGTGGCACCACCTTATTCAAGAGACTTCTTATAAGTCAAGAGCAGTGTAGCATCTTTGATGTATTTGTTCCATGTTTTGATTCACAGCAGGAGGTAGAAGGTAATAGAAATGACCGGGGTGCTGGTCACAAAGCAGAGGTATTTCCAGAGAAAGCTGTTGCCCTGCTTTAACTGAATGCGATCTGGGGGAGAGAGGATGATTAAGGTGCATTTCATGTCTCTCAAGTAAGCTCAGCATGACCCTCATTAATATCTCTGTAATGGAACTGTGATCAGATGAATCCAAACACCTGATAATGTCACTGAAATCTGGCAAATAAGCTCAGTGAAATACTGATTTAATTTTGTATCAATAAGAAGAGTGTTTTTGTCTCGGAAACATCACAGAACTCTGTATTCCTCACATTTTGTTCTGTTCTATATATAGGACTGATGGATGAACTGGCAAAGCAAGGCCATGTGCAGAGCAGCCAGGCTCCCACTGCCCAGACCAACCCCTCCATGTGGTTTCATGTGGCTCCTTACACCTAGACCTTGCTGCAGGCACTGGGTAGGTCAAAGCTATGGGAAGTGCATTGTTCTGGGGTTTTCAAGGTCTGACAACCTTATCAGGGGATTTTTCTGAATTAGGAATTCATTAGGAATATGCTTGTCTATAATAACTCATTTAGTGTTCTGCTGTCTGTCAGTCATACTAACTGTTATTAGATGTCTTCTGTTGCTGGGTAATGATGGAAGAATCAATAGAAAAATTAAATGGAAATACCTTTGTAAAGTAAATTAAAAAGCATGTGGAAAAATAAATTATTCAAATGTGACATGATAACAACCAGTTAAGCCTTAAGCCACAATTAAAAGCCTTATAACCAATCAATTTGTATTTATTGCCATAGTCTCAAGTGAAGTCAAACTACTGAACTGTGATTAACTGGTGGTTAAGGGTGTCAAACTAGAATTTGCTGCAGTGATAACTGTTGGCAGCTGTAGTTCTTTCAGAGATGCAGGGAAAGCGCTTTTTCATTTCACTTAGATGTTCTGAATTTCAGTTTCTGCAGTTTAATTCACTTCAGTAACTCATGCATTCAAAGCTGAGAAACTGATAGGACTTGAAAAAAGCAAGTAAATGTGTTTTCTGTTATAACTCTGACTCAGACGGGTAGGAGAGTCTTAAACCTCCTAGTTCTAGACACTTACTTGGAAGTTGTGGCAATCAGATGCTTATTTCACTAACTATAGGATAGTGTTTTATTATGTATTCAATAGGTTAATACAGTTTTATTTAACTAGATGCATTATTCTAAACTTGGGATATCAAGATATTTAATGGAAGCATATTGCTTTCCAAAACCAAATTCCCACAAATCATAAGGAAAAATAATTATCAAATGCATGTCATTTACCATTTTCTGGCATCATGGAATGTTAGTATGTAGGAATAACTAAGTAAATAACTGTCAATCTATACAATTCCTTAATAATCATGTAGTGAAACAGTATAGAATCAAACAGGTTTCTCATGGGCTGGGGATTCTGCAAGCTACACTGTTCCCAGTGGAAATGTGGACATCCACGTGCTATTGTACCAGTCCCCAATTTAGTCCTCCATTATATGCCATGTAATGTCCTAGAATACAGATGAAGTATCATTTTAATATGAAGTCAGTCATTAATTATCAACCTGAAACTGATGCTTTCAATCATTTGGGTACAGATCTATCAACTGTGCTTAATGGTGTGAATAAGGATAGCAAAATTACAATGGAATATATTTATTATATATATAGGTGGAGACAGTGTTCTCACGGGAGAATGGATAATTGGTACATAAACTGAATAATCCTGAAAGATACAGCAAGGCCATGAGAGGCCCGAGGAAGCTTAAGCAAGCAAGATAAGAAGAAGCTGGAATTCACTGAGTTAATGAGAACTGTGGACTGTTGGCAAGCTTTCGAGGTCAAGTTCTCACACCTGTGCTTAACCACTTACATGTTAGTCACTAAGGGTCTTCAAGACATGTATCCAATCATAATATGCCAAATCACTGTAAGTGCATGTAAGAAATAGTATATAAGGAGTTAAGGCTTTGTAATAAATTTGGCAATCGCTTGATCACATTGGTCGTCTCTGCATTGTCCGTGACTCCCGCATCAACATATATATTATATAGTTACTATGTGGCAAAAAGGCCTTCCAGTTAAGGAGTGTGACTAATCAGTGAAGGTTTGCTATGATGCTGCTGCTCATGCATGATCGTTTTTCAGGCTGTACTGAACTGCAGCATGAGAAGCGGTATCACAGTGATCACCACTGCCCCTTAGTTGAGAATTAGTCAGTTACTTCACACTAAAAGTCTTGATATTTGTTTTCGTGTGGTAACTCATCTTGTTCTGATGATCTCTGTGTGCAGGAAGAAGCCTCAGTGAAGTGCCAGAGCCCCATTACATTGCTCTGGATTTTTTCTGCAATAGAACCTATGCTTCTGATCTTGAAATGGAGCAAGCTGTCATGCTGGCAGTGGTTGGAACAGATGCTATGAAGAGTGCTGGAGAGCTCCTTCACCAGATCCTTCTTCCTGGGCAAGGAGATTCTAGCAGACAGAACCTTCCAGCAACATGCACTCATGGATTGAGCCCCTAAATATCTTGCTACATGGGATGTAAGACTACTTTACAAGCACAACAACATTTAAGGTACTTTAGAGACAAGTTGGTGTTAAATTGTAGCTTATTACTATAATCAATATAGCTTAAAATGGAACATCATGAGAGGTAGTAAAGGATCTATAATTATGGATTATAGTGTGTCAAACCACATTGTTATCAGTGTTTTCTCAGTGTTTTCTCTCTTTCAACTCTTCTCCGTTAGTTGTGTTCTCTAATCAAATCATGACACTTATGCTCCATGGCTCCCTGTTGATTTCCCAGATAGCCCATCTTTCATTTCACTGTAATGTAATTCCTAGCATTTGTATCTTGTGGATTTTCCGTGTACATTTCTGTATCTGCATTACAGTATATTTGCAACAGGTGGCAAAGCTTTGGAACTTGTCTAGTAAAAAAAAAATCCATGCAAATTTAGAACACTTGTCTCCAAAAGAAAAACAGCTTTTATGAAACACATGTTACCAACTGAACAGATGCTAACCAGATTTCTCTTCACTTGTAGAAGAACACTGTTTGGGATTTGAGCTCCTTGGTCTCAAATGGTTGTCCCATCTCACTTGATGTCAGGCCAAAGAAGTAACCCCTTTTGAAGTTGGAGATACTTCCTGGCAAAGCAGCCTTGACACGCTAATGTCAAACCCAGTCCTTGTGTGTGCATTACGGCAGATCAACGCCTTCAGAGTTCTTGCAGATGCATTGGAGAGATTAACACAATGGAGGGAGAAGCTGAGCAAAAGTGGCAGTCTTCTACAGGTAGTAATGGCCCTGACCCCAGAGGTGACATTCAGGCAAGCCATCCTCTTCTTCACAGAGGCAGAGTTTGTAACTGGTAAGACATGGTTTTGCTGTTTATAATGCCTTAGGTATAAGGTGCTCAGGAATTTATTGAACCTGGACAAAGGAATCCTGTGCTGTGAGTTTTTCTCAGGCACAGAAAAGTGTAATAACTTGGGGTTAAATTCTGTGCTTGCCTGAGTAATGATGAGGGATATGAAATCAGCAGGAGCCAGTTGAGGTCATCTACAAGTTAGCCTATTAATTTCATGTGGGCATGGCCTGGTGCCCTCTCTAAAGATCTTGAGGTATTCCATAAATACTAAATTGATATAACAGTAGTTGGCAAGACCAGTAAATAATACTGTAGGTTTTGTCTCTGTATATAAGGGAAACTTAGAAACAAGAGGCCAAGATCTATCCCAATTAAATGTGGCCACCTATTTGTTGTGCCTAACTTGCTGAGGCAAATACCCCAGCCTTGTTCTTTACCTGGGGAGCCAAAGGTACAACCATTCTGCAACAGCTAAAGAAAGCAGATTTCTTGAGAATTACTTTTCATCCCAGAAGAGAATGAACAGTTCATTCATGACAGAGGGGAGATTGAGATAAGCTCTTAGGCAGAAGTTCTTCCCTGTGATGGTGGTGAGGAGCTGGTACAGGTTGCCCAGAGAAGCTGTGGTTGCCCCATCCCTGGCAGGGCTCAAGGCCAGGTTGCACAGGTCTTGGAGCAACCTGGTCTAGTGGAAGGTGTCCCTGCCCATGACAGGAGGTTGGAACTAGATGATCTTAAGGTCCTTTCCAATCCAAACCATTCTACTACGAGGAAAGAAGACTGCTGTCAAAAGCCTCTCTGACTTCAGTGATATATGCTAGCATTGATCATTCAGCTTAGTAAACTTGAGAGTTTCCTCACAAAATAAGAAATGTAGGCTCATGCCTCTAAGCTAAATTGATGCTCAGACTATGGTGTTAGTGATATTGGGTGCTTTGGAGCAGCAGAGTATGAGCTCTCACTGTTTTCTTCCAATGTGAAATATATTGGCGTATCACCTTCATTCTTGGGGATGCCTGACTCCTCACACCTAAAGATAAACAGTTCTGAGCCTGACAATTCTTGATTATTCAGAAACAGAGAGAAATTAAGATTGTGGTAATACCAGATATGAACTGAGCAGGAGTGACGCAGTTCCAGAAGTGCATTCATGCTTTGTAATTTATAGCTCTTTCCCTACCTTTCTGTGAGGAAGAAAGGTCTTTTGTTGTCAATAAACTTAGATACTCATGTCAAACACACAGTGGTTATGTAGTGCGGAGTAAAAAATTTGCTTTCCTAAATAGAAAAAAGAAAATGTGATGGCGTCTGGGAAAAGACAGTGAATTATGTGGGTGGTTTATGTGAGACAGGAGAACAAGAAAAAGAGGCCTTCAGAAAAGAAGGCACCAGACATCCCAAATTAGTGCATAAAACTGTAAGAATTGATGCATTGCTGCCCTTCATTAAAGATATCTTGAGACCAAAAGACAGGATAAGATGAAAGCACAACTGTGAGATCAGTTTATTGAGGAAGGTTGTAATCACAGTGCCAGTCTTTCCCACCAAAGCCATTGTCAAGGGCAAAGGAGCATAGCTGAAGCATGGCTCCAGCATCTTGCACTCTTTTACAAGTTTCCTCCTGTTTTTATTGTGGGATGAATGGTGAGGTGTTTGTGTGGATAACAGCTCTGCAATATTTTGCAGCTGGTCAAATGTTTGCCATTTTCCCTGCTAAATAAAATCACCTTTGTCACCCCTCATGCCCCCAGACAGAGAAGGTTCCCATCTATGAATCCATAACAATACATCTCCTTCCTTTTATAGATGCAGAACACCACCCTGCTATGAAATACCTGCCACCACCTGGCAAGAGGGCCAGGGCTGAAGGTAAGACCAGAAGTTATGCACCAGTTGCCTCTTAGATATACCCAAATAATTTTATACTCACAGATTTAAGAAAACTATAACCCTGTGTCCTCTGACAGAGTCATTAAAATGGGATTAGTAAACCTCTAGTTAGACATCAGAATCCCAGGCAATTAGGAAGCAAAGGACAGAGGGGTCCACTTGGTACTGGGGGAAGGTGGTAGTGTTGCGAGATCACCTTTCCTCTACGAAGTTTTCTGTGTGCTTGGATGTAGCCTACCTAGGGTTGGCGCGGAATGTAGGTTAGAAGAGCAACTAATGGCTTCTCTATAGTAGCCCTTTTCAAATGCAGATCTCAAAAAATACTAGTTTCAGGATGTTTTACAGAGGGGTAATTGAAACCTAGAGAGGTGAAATGTGTTGACCACCATCCCCTAACAAGTGAGTGACAGAAATGGGAGCAGAATGCCATTTCCTTAGTCTCATACAAGGGACTCTAACTTTTGAATTATAGTGCCATCCAAGTCACCACAGAATTCACAGGTCCTACAAGTTTTTCAATACTAAACAAAAAAGATTGTTACTGTGAGGATGTGAGCTAAAAAGTTAGAGGTAAGGACCCTGGAGCTGGCTCCTTCTATGTACTCTTATTATTCTCGCAAAATACATGACAGATGTGGAAAAAGGTCTCATTAAAAGGAAAGAACACTTTGCCTAGATACCTTCCAGATACATTGCCCTGGGAAACAGAAATACAGGGATTTCAGACAGTAATAAATACAAAGAAATGGTAATTTTGTTTTGACAAACAGATTTTAGTTTTCTCTTATCTACTTTGGATGTCACACTGCTTAAGTGTGTCAGTCCCTGGAAAGGAAGTCCTTTATCAGCCTGATGCAAGCTTCTCATTTGTACCCCAGTCCTAGATAACTTCTGGAGTCACATGTGCCTTGAAGTGCTTTAAATTTTCCTCAACTCCCCAGGACACTGCAGGTTTTACATTAGACTGAAGGAAACATTTTTTAGATAGGCTTTTGTTGTAAGATCTTCCTCACCAGGCTCCTTTTGTACTGCTCTGTTCTTATGAGGAACTACTAAAGCGACATTCCTGGCTGCTGGGAAATGTCAGTGGCATTTTATCAGCAGAGCTGAGGAGAGGACTGAACCACAGTTCTGAGCTCAGTAGGTGTGTTATCAGAAGACAGGGCCTTTCTTTGCTTCCAAGGGCACAAGAGAGGACATTAAACAAAACATCTGAGCTTCTAGGACTTACACTGGAAACAAAGCAGCTTCTAACTTGACTGAGAAACCTTGGGATCACACCATTAGCCACTCTCTGAAATACAGAAAAGGTAACAGAATCAACAGGATTTAGTACTTGCAGGCCTTTACAGCAAGGCTTGGACTTACTGGAGAAGTGGGAAGAACATCGCCCAGGGCATCCCAGTACATCCCAACAGCTGAAAGCAAGCCATGAGTGACCCATGAGTTATAATGCTTTAGAATGTGTCATAGCGGCATTATGTAGAGATGATGGCTACATCCTCAAATTATTGTCCCAGCACATTGTCGTGGTTTAAACCCAGTCAGGTAATTCGTTCGCTCACTTACCCCCCCTTTCTTGCCCTTCCCCTGCTCTCGGAGGGACGGAGAGGAGAATCGAAAAGAATGCAACTCCCACAGGTTGAGATAAGAACAGTTTAGTAACTAAGGTATAACACAGATCACTACTGCTACCACCAATGATAATAATGATAAAGGAAATAACAAGGGAAGAGAATACAACACCTCAGCACCAGCCGACCGATAACTCGCCCCCCAAGCCCGACCAAGCCCCGACCGATACCTCCTCCAACCCTGCAGACTCCCAGCCCTTCTGGGTAACTCTCCGTTACATCCTGGGCATGACGTGCTGTGGTATGGAATACCTCTTTGGTCAGTTTGGGTCAGGTGTCCTGTCTCTGCTTCCTCCTGGCTTCCCCTCCCCCCTGGCAGAGCATGAGGCTCACAAAGTCCTTGGCCAAACCAAAACATCATTGTTATCAGCTCTGTTCCCAGGCCGAAAGTCAAAACACAGCACTGCACCAGCTACCAAGAAGGGGAAAAATGACTGCTACTGCTGAACCCAGGACATTATCCACCCCTTATTCCATACCATTCACGTCACACATGCACAGCACTTACTCGATTTTTAATTCTTTTCTCATTTAGTGGGAGAGAGGCAGAGATGCCACACAGAATCTCTGTTCATCTACCTGCAAACAGGTGAGAGAAGAGCAAAGGGGAAAGCGTGGTTTGGGAAGGACTTTGTGGAACTAACTTGTCTAACAGCCAAAAATAAGTAAAAAACATTATACCAACTTCTTCTTCAGGCTTGAGTACAGGCAGGGATATACACTCTCTTTTCTGAACATGCCAGGAAATCTGGTATTTGCTTCTCTTGAGCCTGCACTTATTTTAAGCCCCACACAGATGTAGATTATTGCATATAGATAGCATATGAAATAGTATTTTTCACAGTTACACTATGAAATCAAAACCTATGTAATATTTTTTGGGGGAAAAAAATCACTGGCTTTGAGGAAAGGATCTAAAAACATAATGAAGCAGAAAAACAAAAAATAGCAGGCAACTTTGGCAAACCTGGAAAGGCCACTAAGCAGCCAGGGCTGGAGATGAAAATCAGGCACATCTGAGAGCTGCCAAAGAGGCACTTTCTCTTGCTGTTGTTACTTATAATCACCGAGGAGATAAAATCAACTCCAGGTGACAAGGTGTTCCCACCCGTTTTCAACACTTGTCTTTGAGCAAACAAAGATGGCAAAGTGACACAAAACAAATCCCTCCTGAAGTGTCTGAAGTCAATAAATGCAGTATGTAATGTTTCACATACCGCAGGAATAAGAATGTTTGCCCAGAAACATAGCAGATGGCAAGTAAAACATCTGGAGGACAATGAGGACTCATGTAACAGCACACAGCTGAGATTGCTGTTCAGTGTGCAAGCAGCTGAATGCTTCTGAGTAGCTTGCTTTACTCCTGCACTTGCAGGCTGTTGCTATGGCATTTAAACCTTTCAGTTCAAGAATGATGCGAATAAAATGGCAGATCTCTGAGAGGGCTCCCTGCATGATAAGGGTTAAGTTTCCATATCAAGTGGGGGAGCAGTAATATAATTTTTTAGTTTTGATCCCGTATTTCTGTCATGAATCAGTACCATGCCATTTAGAAGTAACAGTATGCATTAAATTATATGTAGTGTTGATGCTTCATTGCATTGACATTTGTATAAATAGTAGTGGGGATACAGGAAGCATAAAATGACACTTTATGTATACAAACAGCTAACCATGGATGAGTGTGAGCAGCCTGCAGTACTGTAAGCTCATGCTTCATGCTAGTTGCCATAGTTAGGCACCAGCAGTTAATGGACCCTAACTGACTGGTTCTGACACTACTGCTGTCAATAAATCTTCAAAGGTTGTTCAAAGATTTATTAGGATATTAGGATATCGGGAATCTTGACTATATTCCTAGTTACAAAGTACTTCAGCAAAACTAGTAGTTTGAAAATGCTGCCATTTAAAAATGAAATGTCTCTGCTTTCTGCCTTTTAATGCAGTTGATATCATCAGACAGCAAAACTCTCTTGGCCTGGTTTGTTCTGTTTCTCCCAGCACACAGAGCTGCACCTCGCTGGCAGCTCTGCTGGCGCAGCTTTGTCAGGAGCAAAAGGGGTTTTGCTGAAATCTCAGTTTTACTAAGCACAATTCTGTTTGTAATAGGTTTATAACATTAATTGAGACCTGTCATGCTTGTTGGTGCCTCTCTGAAACATAACTCTAACAGAGATAGTGAAAGCAAAACAGTGAGGAATGAGAATTTAATAGCTGCCTTAAGGATTATATCACATAATCACTACAGTTGACAAGAAAAATGTAAAAGAGAATATTTTATCCCTCTTAAAACTTTCATATTAATATAAAGAACTGAGTCTTATCCTACAGACCTTCCACGTTAAAGTCGTGGACTCAAAGCAGATATACTGGGAAAAAACAATCTACAAGCATATGGTTTTTGGATATTTTTTTTTAACTAAAAATCAAACAAAGCCCCATATGCATTCATCGGGGGGTTTATGACCTTTTTTTATTCAAATTTTTGTGAACTTGATGCCAGCTTTTAGATAAGCCACTTCTACTGATGTCTGTCCAGGCTAGTAAATTCTGCCGTGTGTTTTACCTCGGGTTTTAGGAGCAGCTTTGGGTTTCACTCTGTGCTTTGTTACAGGAGCCCAGATTCTTTGCACAGTGCTGCTGATCAAACCCGGTGCCTGGAGCTGCAGTTTTGCAAGGATCCTCCGAGAACTAGACCTGGAAAAATTCACTGTGGTTGGCATGAAACACATAAACCTGGAACCAGGCGTTGCCTTAGGACTCCTTTCTTCTGAAGTGAAACAGGTGTGTTAAGAAGCCGGTTGATCTGTGGCTACACTTAGGTTTGGAGTGGGGAGGTATGTTAGCTAGTGAGTAATCCGTTCCTGAAAAAAACACAAACCTCCCATCCGGGATTTCTGAGCTGTTGAAGTGAGCTATATAGAACAGTCAGCTCTGTACCAGTGTCAGACACAAAGCAAGCTGATGTGCTGACTGTTTCTTTTATTGCATGCCATAAAGCATCAGACCTGGTTTCTCTAACAAAACAAAAGTTTGGAGGATCTGGGCAATACAGACCTCCCAGGAATCAGTGGAGTTGCCAAGTTGCAATGCTGACTCTAACTGTAAAACAGTTGTCCTCTTTTCCTTTCCTAAGGTCATTTCAGGTAAAGGCACATCTAAGGAGCAACCAACTCCCCTGCAGTTGGGCTGGGCTTTCCTTCCATGTGTTTAAGCCTGGGAGTTGGGAAACATCTGCTGCACTGACAGAGAATATGTACCTCTGAAGCCCCGTTCCCTTAGATTGCATGTATTACACATCTTACACATGCAGCTGAATCTGTCTTCCAGGAGTGTGTGTAGAACAGACTATAAAAATGACCTGCAAAGAGAGAAAATTGAGTTACTGTCATTTCTAGTGTCTAATAGACAATAAAGAAGGTTCTTAAATCTTAGGGCTAAAAATTGGTGCATGTTTCTGTTCTTCTACACCTTTAGAAATTATTTATTTCCCAAAATGCAATACCTTGATATGAGTGTAAAGATAGAAAAGGCAGGAAACTGAAATCTGGGCACTCCTGAGGAGCTAGATGATTTATTTTTTTTTAATCTCCTTGTTATGTGATTGCTTTCATGAAGGCACTTAACCGATTAACTTTGGCAGAAAACAAGACTTTCTAATCAATATTGCTCTGGGATTATGTTGGGAAAGTTTATAGTACTCTCTCATAGAAAATCTTAATAGTCTTCCAGAGGAAGAGAGGAGCATGCCAGGACAGTGCTCTAAGATAACCACCAATCAGGAGCAGTTACCACCTTCTGCATGATGGCAAAGCCATGAAGCACAGGCATCTGATTTGTAAATAGATACAGGCCACTTGTAAGACAGGATGGATAGGTGGGACCGTGTGAACCTCCTGAAGTCCAACCAGGCCAAGTACAAGGTCCTGCAATCCCAAGCACAAACACATGCTGGGGGAGACTGGATGGAGCAGCCCTGAGGAGAAGGGTGTTGCTCACCATGACCCGGCTTCATTGTGCACTTGAGCCCAGAACTCCCCATGTGCTGGGCTGCACCCCCAGAGTGTGAGCAGCAGGTTGAGGGAGTAGATTCTCCCCCTCTGCTGCCCTCTGAGGAGGCCTCCCCCTACAGTCCTGATCCAGCTCTGGGGCAACAGCACAAGAGGGACGTGGAGCTGTTGGAGAGAGTCCTGAGACCGCAGAGATGCTGTGAGGCTGGAGCAGCTCTGCTCTGGAGCCAGGCTGAGAGAGCTGGGCTTGTTCAGCCTGGAGAAGAGAAGGCTTCTTAAGGGGAGACCTTAGAGCAGCTCCAGTGCCTAAAGGGGCTACAAGAAACCTGGAGAGGGGCTTTGGACAAGGGCCTGTAGGGACAGGCCAAGGGGGAATGGCTTTAACCTGACAGAGGGGAGACTGAGATGAGACCTTAGGCAGAAGCTCTTCCCTGTGAGGGTGCTGAGGCGCTGGCACAGGGTGCCCAGAGAAGCTGTGGCTGCCCCATCCCTGGCAGTGTTCAAGGCCAGCTTGGATGGGGCTTGGAGCAACCTGGTCTAGTGGAAGGTGTCCCTGCCCATGGTAGGGTGTTGGAACTGAATGAGCTTTGAGGTCCCTTCCAACACAAACCAGTTTGGGATTCTGTGAGGAGTTGCTGAAGGAGTGCTTTCCAATATGGCTTTTAACCATACAGCTAAATACAAAAATGCTTGGTTGAACATCTGAAACAAGACACTTTAAAAAAATCCCAATGACTACCTCAGGAAGTAATGCTGATGTATGCTGGGTAGAGTTACAGAGGGGTGATTTCATCAACATTTTCTTTTGTTTTGGGAGCTCTCTAACACACTGGAGCAGCTGCTGAGCATTGATTTAGTTTCCTGGAAAAGCTGGTGACTAATGAGCTTAAAAATTACAGACTGTTGGGGTTTTGTTCATGGGGGTTGGTGGGTGGAAAGGCAGGTTTTCAAAGTGAGACAGCAGAGATCATCAACTGCCTTTGGCAGAGGGAATGGGCAGTAGGAAATGCTTTCTGCTGTATGGGAGCTTCTTCTCAGTTTTAGAACACATCTGAAAGTCTTTCACTTGTGAGGGTTGGAAGAGGCTGAGCTTCCAAGATAAACAGATAGATTTGCAAAAAGCCAAAGTATGCTTCAGGGCCTGGACTATTTGCAAAATCCAGCTTCTAAGTGTTACAAGGGCAGCTGGTGGGGGCAGATATATTTCTTGTAGCTGAATTTCATATAAGCATTTGAATTGGAGTGCTATTCATTGTCAGTCTCTCAGGGGACAACGGGATACAGGGCTGATTTTAAAATGAGGTTGTTAATATGGGGGCAAATAGCTGAAATTTAGCATGTCTTGTTGAAGAACATGGAGCCAGTGCGTCTGACACTTCTAGAAGGGCTTTTTACCTCCTCCTCACCTGGAGCCTGATCCAAAATCCATCTCCAAGAATCTCTAGAGAGCTCCTGTGTATTCCTCAGTGTGCCAGTTTGTTTTGTATACAGAGTACTTTATCACAGATTTGGGGTTTATTCACTCATAGAAAGACTACCTAGCATCTCCTTCTCTTTCTAATGGATTATTTGTACGCACATTGACAAATATCCTCAGCAACATGATTTCAGATACACAATTGCTTTTGCAACTTAGGTATTAACATTCAGCTTCTAAGTAGCATATGGCCTTTGGCATACAACAAATAATGGACTGGTCTGCTGTTTGCTGAGGTATCTAATAACAGGAGCCATGATCATACTTTTTACCTGAAGTTTAAGAATAATTTACAAAAATAAGAGTCAGTAAATAGAGCTGTCATTGTCCCCTCAGCTGTTAGCAGGACCTGGTCATGTTCTAACTGTGGGAAGCAGCCACTCCTGAAGGGATTTCTGCCCATGGAGGCTGGATCTACTTTCAACAGCTCCAGCCCAGCACCAATGTGCAGTTTTGGCTGCCAGCCAGAAAGCTTGATTTTACAGTGGGATCTGATCATCTTTTTGGGAATCACCTGAAATGATTGCCTGCAAGTCGCTGGACTCAGTAGCTTGATGATTCCCTCCAGTCCTATCTTGTGATTCTGACAGTAGAGGCCAAAGGATGATTTTGCTGCTTTTTAATCCTGTTAGTCCTCCAGAGCCAGTGCACAGCTGGAACTTCCTCTGTGTACAGCAACAACATCACTCACTGAATTTGGGTCAGCTGCACATCTCACCACAGCTGTTCAGGTGTCAGTGGGGACACGGGTGAAGATGGTGGAGAGACAGGATGTAAATAAGAGCAACATTTTGCTGGCAGAGTCTAGAGAGGATGGGAAGATCTCTCAGAATGGGAGAAGTCATCTTGACTCACTGACACCATCAGTAGCAATCAGAGCATCATCTTTAACACAAAGTCTGCATATTTGCTGGGGAACAACTGAAAGACAGGAAACACAGTAGGGTTCTGTTATGTAGATCTAAAAACAGTGTTTAAAAGCTCTGGAACAAAACAACTTTATTTGTTTTGGTCTGTTTAACAGAAAGCATCTCTAAATATTTTCTTCTGCAGATGTTTCTACATGGATGAATGTTGATATGCTATACTCAGTCCTTTTTAAACTTCACATAAAGTCATCCTCACTGTTTTTCATCTCCCAAAGAGAAGGCCCTTGGAAAAGTGTATTATATACATATTCTTTCAAGCTAACAAAAGATTTCAAGCAAAAAAGGTTAATTTTGTATTATACAGAACTGAATGAATGTCAGCATGTTGCAGTATACTATGACCTGCTGAAACTCTTCATCCTCATCTAAATGGGGCTCTCCTGCCAGAGGAGAGCCTGTGCTAAAACTTCCCTGCACAGTCCTGGTCTGTAGGTGACATCCCTGGGTTTCCTCTGCCCTGTGTTTCCATGAGGTGTGAGGATGGACACATATCAAACCACTTACCTAACTAACCCATTTAAAACCAGGGGGGCTTTCTCATGGATCATTTTGCATTTTCAAATACAGAAAATAATATCTGGATTGAGCCTGTGCTTTTCAATTCATAGCCTACTTCTTGGAAATACAGCTGAGGAGGAATGTGAGCGAGAGATTTGGGTCAAAGACAGTGAATGGTTTCATATGGTAGAAAAGCAAAAGAGTCCTTGAAGTAGTTTATCTCCATATTTTAAATGAAATTATAGGATTTACTTTTGGACATGTTTTACCTAGATAATAGAAGATTAAGAAATTAAGAAATAGAGGAATTAAACCCCTCAGGGGGCTGAACGATGTGTTTCAGCTGAATCAAATAATGGGTTGTCCTGTTCCCCCCCCTCCTTGTTTTCTTCTCCTCAAAAATTGAAAAAAAAAATAAATAACCATGGGCTGGTTCAGGCAGGGAGCTGAAACTGCTGCTGTGCATAAGCTGCACAGGGGACGTAGTGCTGGTGTGGGGCTTCTCTGTAGAGCACGGGGAGGCAGAGCTTGGTGCTCCTGCCACTCTGTCAAGATGAAGGGGCAGGAGGAGGCAGCCTGGAGCTGCTGTGGGCACCCTGACCTCATGCTCAGCAGAGATGTCTTCAACAAGCCTGGCTTTCAAAGGTTTACTTAATTAAAGCAGTCAGCAAGGCTGCGAGTGCTCTGCTGCCTCTTGGAACCCCCTGCCCCAGTCATTTGCTGCCTTTCCCTGTGCTTCTCAATTATTATGTCCGTCTCCAGCCTGCAAATCAGACTGTTCTCACTGGTGCAGTGGTTGCTAGTTATTGTCATTACCTATCCTTAGTTAAAATAAAGATCCCAGGCTGTTGTGACCTGCACAGCATCAAAAGGAACATCTCTGCTCAGGAGTGATGACAGGCTGAACCGACCACATTTGGAAAAGAAGCGAAGCTAGAGAAATAAGTCACAGAGCACAATACACCAGTGGCAAAGCCAGGAGGGGAACTGTTTTCTCTCAGTCCCTATCTAGTGCCCTGCTGCTCTGAGCTTCCTTGTTTTAAGCTCACTGGTTCTATAGTCCTGATCCTAACTTGTGTATGTTCTTTGTGTGAATTCAAGAATAAAAGTTCCAGTATTTGTAATCCTTCATTATATATCAGCTAAGGAATTAAATGTGTTCCTTATCCCAGAGCATTTATGACCCAGTTGATATTGCTAATGTCCATTGCTTCCACCCTATCCTCATGTCATTTTGAAGGTCAAGTTAAAAGGGTTATTGCATAAATCAAAGGGTCACTAGTAGATGAGTAAACTGCAGAGTAGCAATTTGATTTCATCCTTATCCTCTGAAAATGAACTCCACCTCTGCTACCTGGCATGTACAGATAGGCAGAACAAGCACAGCACAAGGCTTTCTGTCTTCTAGGAATAGGATTTGGTTTCCTTTCTTACTAAAACATTAGGAAATTACTGCTGAAGTTGTTTGTATGTATAAAACCTACTGTTGGTTGATCTAGGACCATGAGGACTAGAACCACAAGCTGCTATGGCTTAAGAACCTGCCATTAACTTCTTTAGCTCTGTGAGGACTTAGGGTGGGAACTAGATCTCCTATTATCTGGTGAATGTAACAGCAAAATGCTGGCTTAGTGATTATGGTATGTACTCTGGAAGCTCTGCCTGCAGAGACCACTAGCACATATATTATGAAGAGGAGAGAAAGCAGGTCAGGAAAACAGCACTCACCAGCACTGTTCATCGTAACCTGTTTTGTCTCTGTTATTTCTCTTCAGGATCCTGCTGTTTTAGAAGCTCACTGTTCCTACCTTACTTCAGACACTGCTCTAGTGCTGTGTCTTCAGAGGCCAAATGCTGTGAAGAAGCTGACAGATTTACTGGGGCAGAGGACCCTAAAGTAGCCCAAGCACTAGATCCATCCCTCTGGAAGGCTCAGTATGACATCAGCACAGTCCAAAATGGATTTTATGGTAAGTTTTTGTAAAAGTCCAAAGGCTCAAACATGCCATTGGAAAAAAGATGTTATGTGCTGTCACCTCCTCATTGTCAATGTGGGTCTAGCTTTGGCAGGTGGTAGAAACCATTATCACCCCTAGAAAGCCTTCACTGTTGTCTTAGTGGCTGAGCTGAATATGTCTCAAACTGTGAAGTATAACCCAACAAGATATATTAAAAGGTTTCTTCCCAGAACAACCCTAGCTCTGCCTTCCACCGGAACAGATTTCCTTTGATCTCTTCACTACTTGGTCATTTTGTACTTTTAGCTTGGTTATTTTGTAATTATCCCCAAGAACCCATCTGTCTTCTCTCTGCTTCAAAGCTACCCTCCTAGTAACTTCATAACCCACTGGCCAACTGCCACCAGATTCCACAGAGGGAGAAAAAACTCCAAGATACTGATTTCCTGTAACATGTCCAAACATTAATGATTGACTAAAAAGAGGTGATCAAAAATGGCTTTTCCTAAGGAAAGCAGGTAAACTCAGCTGTTTTCCATTCGAAGAGGCTCTTGCCAGCTGCCACCTCAGCAGAGACAAGCCAGTTAGTCAGCACCTGGATGCTGAACCAGCTCATCTGCCAGCAGGGAGGGAGCTAGGATGCTGCAGTGGGAGGTGGGATGGGAGATAGCTGGGAGTGGGTGTGAGGGAGGGGAAAATGGGAAGTATTGCTGGAGCAGGCCTGAGCTGCTGCCACGAGGTGGGAAGGGTAGAGTTCAAACATTCCTAGGGAATTAAGCATCATTAGTTCACTGCCCATGAACAGTGCTTTTCCTCAGTGTGGTGCTGATTGTGCTGTGTGTGGTTAAAGGGATGAAAAATAATAAAAGCAATAGTTTCTATAGACACACTCTACTGTGAGCTAGCAGACACTGTGTATGTACCTTCATGTTCCAGAAGAACTTTCTTGTCAAGATTGGATTATTTGGCTCTCTGTTGCATTCTGTGCTATCAAAACACTCTTTTTTTTTTCCCACATCAGGTGATCTTTTGAGGAAAACTGATAGGGAATGAAGTAGCCCCCATGTACAGTCTGGGGGAGACAGTCAACCCCTTGAGGTAGAACCTTGTTTGTTTTGGTTTTTTTCTCAGGTATGATCATAATCCTTAGGAACAAGACTAAACCAAGAGAGATCTCACACCACTTACAGGATCTCATTCATGGGAGTGACTGAAGGGCAGGATCTACCCACACAAAAGGAATGGTCAGGGCTCTTCAGCCAATATTTTTCCATTATCAGCCCCTGCTTTTTTTGCTTTTAAATTTAATAGCTTGTGTATGCAGGTTGCCTTGAGAATGAGAACTCTTCACTCACAGCTAATAATTAGTAATATATACCCCAAACTTAGGATACCCATGCTACTGTTAGAGCATCCCTAGCATAGCTCAGCTAAAGTTTACTTTATATTAGCAAGAGAAGCCAAGTCTCACCCTGTCTTTCGCTGGAAGAGCTCACTGTGTTAGAGAAGCCCTCAGAGGTGTGCTTAAGGATTGATTGCTTTCAGATTCCTGCTCACTCCAAAGGCTGGGCTGAGCACAGAGCTGCGCTTAGCTGGCTACCACCCATCCTCTGAGTTCAGCCTGTGCTTATGTTAAGGGCAGCAATGTGACTCTTTCACAGAGCCATCATTGCACACATCCAAGGAGACTGGAGGCAGCTGTAACTGATGTACTCACTGACTCAAGATCTGACCCAGCTCTGTGCCAGGGAGGTGTTTGTCCATAAGGGAAGGAGCATTTGTAACCCGTTGTATCTCCAAGAGCTTGTTCTCCAATAGGGGTGAAACGTTTACCTACAAGTTAAGCAGGAATTGCCAAATCACTGCGTGAGTAATCATTCGGGAGGGCTGTGTAACACCATCTTCCTCTCCTAGGAGGGAATACTGAGCCTGCTCAGTTTTGCTTCAACTGAGGAAGATCTCTAGTTAATGTCACCTTGTTGAAGTAGAGCAAACTCCAGCTGTTTGTTTCCTCCGAAAGTAATTGGGGAAGATCAATGGAGATGAAGACTACGTTCCAGCGATACTGTTGAACCAAGTAATGCAGTTTTAATACTCTGCTGCTCAGCTGCAGAGGTAAACCTACACTCCTCTCATCTCTTCTTGGTCTTTACGAAGTCATCGTATAGTGCTTTTCCTTGAACCCAAAGATCTCTTACACAGGCATCTTATACAATCTTATACTTCAAGCAAAGTGAGAGTAAAAATGTTGCAAGCTTTGGGAACATTTGTGTCCTCTGTAACGGCATCAGTTACTTAAACAAGGAAGATTCGACTCAGAGGTACATAAAAGATCCAGCACAACTTCCATGCTGATGACTTAGGCAATCTTAGGATTGTAAACTACTGCATTAAGGACTGTGGCAATTCAATAGCTGGAATTATGAAGTTCAGACAGGGCTGAGTGCTGTAAGAGCAGTAAGGCATGATTCTTTGAATGGGTAGCCTGCAAAGGTGGTAATATTTCAGAGAATATTTGTGTTTTGTATATTTGTATCCCAGGAGTATGGATCTGTACCAGCAATTGACAATCCATCTGATCTCCAGTTATATAGAAATAGCTTTTCCTTCTCTAACATTTTCCACCCACAAATCTCAAAGCACTCGGAATAGTGCTTTGTAACAATGTTGCTTTATAGGGATATTCTGTATCCTGATGCTGAGCCTGCAGAGACCTCTCAAGCCCCTGACTGAGTTCAGTTAATTCCTCCACAGACAATGCCATCATATATTCCCTTTATAGGGATGCACCTCAATGGCATGGTTGTAACAGAACTTCACTGCTCTGATAGCTAAAATTCTTCTTACATTTTCAAATTTAAATGTAGTCGTACCCAATTTGTATCCATTTGTTCTTGTGCCAAGACCTGTACTTCAATTTTCAGTAGCTCTTTTTTCTTCTCTGACCTTTTCTACCCTGGTGTATTTATCGGAAATCAGATTCCTTCTTCAGCTTTGTATCATGTTGGGTCAAACAAGTCGAGGTCTTTTAGTTTTAACTCTTCAAATGTTTCCCCATTCTTTCCATGATCCTCATGTTGTTTCTCTGTGTACCTGTCCCAGTCTCAATTTCCATCAGCAGTGTCTCACACTAATTCTGATTTCTGTTGTAAGTCAGAGCCCCCAGCGTATCTGGGACTTGCATTATTGCTACAAGGCACATTTGTTTTACCAACTAGTAGCTCCTTCCCATTCAGTAAGACCAGCCTGATGTGGTTCAGAAGCAAGAGAACAAAAATAGGGGATTGGAGCTGGTATTAAAAAGGTTCACAGGCTCCTTAACACAATTCCCTTTACTACTCTGCTGGGAAATAGGAGTCTTGTTTACATGAAGAAGCAGCTGAGCGATAATAGGACAGAATCACAATATCAAGAAGGCAATGAAACTATTCTAAATATAATGGTTTAAAATGCTTGCTATTACTGTATAGAACAGCTGGCCTTTAAAGCAATTACTTCAGTACGTTGCACATCATCAGTCTCTCCAAAAGATGAGTGTGAGTCTAGAGAATGTTTAATTCATGGCCTGAGAGAATCTTCTCATTGTATTTATCTCTCAGGCTCTGAATCCTATCAAATAGCTGTCCGGGATATGAAGCTGTTTTTCCCAGAAGGGCTGTGCTACACTGAGTGTCAGACATTAGAGGAGGAAGAGGTAAAATTCTGCCCTTTCCTGAGAAGTATCCTGCTGTGTCAGAGCAATCGCTTTGGTCTTTCTTTCCTATTAGGCTTTAGATTATGCTCTTTTTTTTTGATGTGTTTTACCAGCTGCTGAGATCTCGTTCTCCTGCGGATGTTCCTATCACAAGGTGCTCACTTTGTATTGACCCAGACAGCCTCAGTGGAAAAGTGCTTTTCCAGATATGTTTGTTCAGTAACCTGTGCTGTAAATTCAGGGCTCATACTTTAGAAGCTAAGTTTCCAGTCAGAGTCAACATCGCTGTGGAAGCAGGTCACAGGGAGGGATAGCAACATCATCAATGATTGCTAAGACATAGCTGGCCCAGAGGCTGCTTTTTAACCAGCTTTTCTCATGTAGTATCCAGGAATGGAGATGAAGAGGGACAGGTGATGATGCAACTCACTGATTGCTGAATGTCTACCACAGAATAGGCACACATCCACATGCTCACAGGGTGAGCACTGCCCTGTTTGTGTGCCAAGGGTGTTGTCTGTTGTGCCCTGTGTGCAGAGGTACCAGATCACAGCAATGCAAAGGGTGGAGCTGTCTATGTGAGACATCTCAAGCTGTAAATACACTGCTTGCACAGCTGCTGGCTGCCTGCATCTTTCCCTGCCCATAGATGGAGGCATAAAGGCTCACACTCTAGCCCCTCAGCTTGCCTTCAGGCAGTGCCGAGCAGCTTACCAGAACCACTGTGGCCCACTCTGCTCGCCTAGCCCTCATGGTGCTGGTCTCTAATTCAAACCACTGCAGTCTGCCAATGGCTAAAATAAAATAGTAAGTCTTTCGTGTTCCACTAGTTCTGTATGTCATTTCCACTCTGATCATTTTCTTCTCAAAACCAGACTTTGAAATTATTTGGTTATGCCCAACAAAGGGCTGGAAATTTTTGACCCTTGCTTTTGTCCACATGGCACAGAGGTGACCCAGCTGAGTTAGTCCAAGGAGCTTAGCTCTGGAACTGGAAGCAGCCAGCCACATCTGTAATATGCTTCACTAATGTGGATGCTCTCCCTCTGCAACTCAGTTCCAGGGCATCATTGCTGCACTGTGCTGGGATGCAGAGGTATACCAGTTCATACAGAGATGGAAGGGAGCCACTGCACACTGGGTAAAAATGTCAGACACTCACAGTCCTTGAGTTTCTGGCCTTGAAAAGCTGGGAGTAAAGACCTTGGAAAGATGTCTGTCAGGACCTTTAAAAGGATGTCAAGATGCTGTTCTGAACTGAGCCCCAATAAAGATAAATACAATGCATGCAAAATGTTCTTGTGTCTCTAGACAAGCAGGTGTTTCCTGGGCTGCAATTACAGAAGTACACAACGAAAGCTTCACAGCTTGCCTCAATCAATATATCTGAAGTGTTATCCTTCCTGATCAGGTAATGGTGTTCCCATGACTTGCCTCTCTCTCCGTCCCTTCCCTCCTGCAGATCTATAACCTGAAACATGACCTCATAGTCAGTTTGGAAATCAAGAAGCAGTGGAAGATCATAAAGCATGGAGCAGGAGGGCAGCTCAGTTCACTGGGCTCTGAGCAACCATGCAGCCATGGTAAGAAAGTGCGTAACTCTTGTCATAGATTGAGACTGCTATTGATTAATTGGATAGCAAGACAAACCATCTGGTGGCAGCAAGATTTGGTATTGATGTCCTTTCAGGAAGAAAAGACAGCTCTGAGATGCAAAGAACGGCTCCAGTGGAGTCCAGCCATTTAACTGTTTACCTGCCAGGCCCTTCCACTGCCAGAGCTTTCATGGATTGAAATGCAAGCCTGTTCAGAAGTGCTGACCTTACCATCAGCAGAACCAGCACTGTCACACATCCCATGTAAGCAGTAGTGCACATTTCTCTGCTGCACTTTCACACTGCACTTAAACATTGACTTGGCCACAGTGATTTGCATCTCTATTCAGAGCCTGCCACAAGAGAGGCCAGCACACTGTAGAGATGGGTGATAGTGAGATGTGTTGTTCTGTGAGTAGGTAAATACAGTTTATGCTTTAGTACTTTTGGCAGTGTGGCCAGCGCACTCTCAGGAACTGGACTGAGATCTCATTCGGTTCCCACTAGCTGATAAACAGCTGCCAGCTTAAAATGACTTCTACTTACCGCTGCTCTGACTTTGATTTGAAGTTGAACCTTCAGCAAACCTCTCACTTCCCTCAGCCACTTACAGTTTCTCAGCCTTTTCTGCTGATTTTTCTTGATAGGCATGTGTACACCACAGGCTGTCATGCAACATCATTTATGTCAGGATAGGTAACTAACACATGGGGATGCTTCCATGTTGGGATATTGTGGATTGATTCCGAGCCTTTATAAACAAGCAGTGACTAGGTAAAGCATCCCTGTGGTGGTCACTGGGGAGCAGACTTGTTTGGAACTGGGTCATTCTCATTCCTGTAGCTTGAGTTGTGATGTGACTAACAAGCAGGAGGGTGGAGAGCTGAGCAAATGTTCCTGTGCTGCACCTGACTGCTGCAGTTGTTAAGCCCAGCTGTAAAACCACAAGATTGTTGTGGACAGGCAGAGTATGATAAAACTGCTACAGAGCTACTGATCATCACATCCCACCTTAACCCCTTACTGATACAGGGCTTTTGGGCATTGACCCTTACCTGCAGGTGCATGAGACAGCACATGTAGAAGTGCAAGGAGGGTGCTGTAAGCCAAGGCCTGTACCTTAGTGCCAGCAGAGCTGCTTGAGAAGCATAGGGTCACCTGGGGGAAATAGGGGGTGTCTCTGAAGGATTTTAGCCAAGATAATTAACAATGAATTCTTTTCACTGTCTTAGCTCGGCTTTGGGTTATGCTCCATGCATGCTTCATGATCATTGCAAAAATCACCAATCCTCAGGCAAGCTTCTTTCTTAGGTTGCAGACCTAAGGAAGACCTTGGTTTTGTAGCCACTAATACAGCAGACCCTGAGTGCATGAAGGTTCAAGAATTAACTGATCCCTGCAGTGGGAGTGTGAGACCTATCTCACAACATTATCACAGTATTTAAAGGGTGGCTACAAAGTCTCTGTTTTCACTGTAGCTCTCTTTCTGTAAGGAGTTACATGGAAAAGACAAGGGGTGCTGGGCAGAAATTAATCCCAGGGGATTCTCCCAGAAGGAGTTTTCCCAGTGAGAACAACCAGCCATTGGAATAATCTCTTCAGGAAAGTGGTGGATTCCCCAACACTGGACACAGTTAAGATTGGGCTTGGCAGGGTGCTGGGATATCCAGTCTAGGTCATACTTTGTCTAGGAAGGTTGGACCAGATGGTACCTGAAGTCCTTTCCAAGCTCATATTCTGTGATTTGTTATTGACATTCCTAAAACTGTTGTATGAGTCCTGAAAGAAGAACTTGGTGACTGTGTATCCAACAGCAGCTTTGTTGAGATGACCAGGCTGTTCTGCATGTAGCTGTCGGAGTGGCTGCAGAGATGCAATCACACCATTGTGTTTCTGCTGGGGTATGTCAGCTCAGGCTGTGTTCAGAGCACAAAGCTGCAGTGAGAGGAGACTTGCAGCTGCTCCCAGTCCAAAACATCCCATATTGCTGCTTTTGCAGGGTATGTCCCCCACCAACTTACTACGCGATGAGAAAGGACTGGGCTTCTGCCCAGGTTTGTACTTCCTAATTTTTAGAAGAGATTGCAGAAAATAAGATAAAATAGGAAAAAAAAAAAACAAAACCAAAACCAAACAAACCCGTAGTTTATTGTGGAGAGAGCACAGGTATTCTGCAAGCTTTGAACAGCCCAGTGGTGGGAGCACATCTCAAATGTTGTGCCCCTAATTTCCTGCTGCATGAGGATCATTTTGCTTTGAAGATGTCTAAGCAGAGTCGAAAGGAAACCAGTGTTCAACCTTGATGTGTTTGTGTCTCAGAAAATGTATTTCAAAGAGTCACTGTCCTGGAAAAGCAAGTACACGTGATCCTTGAACTGTCAGGAGCAATATAGTAAGTGCCTCCAGCGAGCCAGACGCATCCTTCACTTGGTTGCCCCATCTTGAACACTAGAGGTAGCTCTTGCACACGAAGAAGCCTCCCCTTTTGAGCGAATCACTATCAAAGCTGCTGCCTAATGGACAGGCAAATTTATCATGAGGAAAATATGAAATACATTAAGTCCTATGTACGCTGGTTCAGAATTACATTTTGGATTATAAAAAGCAGCTGGATTAACGATTTCTTTGCTTGGAAGAAATTAAATGGACTAGTATCTCCTGTAGCAAAGCAGCAGTTGTCCTTGTCTGACTTCTGAAATGGGGTCACTACTGCTGTCTTGTGATCTCCAGATACATACACATAGGCATGCAGCAGTTCGACAGCTCAAGGTGAGCAATTGCATCTGTGAACATCCCAAACCATATAACAATGCCTGAGGGCCTCAGATCTTCCAGTTACTGGTCTGTGGCCAGGAAGAATTACTTAGAGGGCTGCCAGTTGTTTGGGATAGGTAGAAAACAAGCATGTGTTGTGCTTTGATCTTTCAGATCAGCCATTGCTTGACAACCTCTGCCAAACCACTTGCCTCCTATTGCCTGGGGTGAGCCTCCGGGGTTCAGAGACCCCACCTTATGTGGAACTGCTTGATGAACTCATTGGCACAGATTTCACAGTGTCTGGAGTACGTCTCGCTGTTCTGGACATGCCACAAGCTCACTGCATCTCCAAGACACTAAGCAAGGCAGGATGCAGTGCTGCAGCATGGGTATGGAACAGCTGGAGTCATGCTTTGCTTCCTTCAGACAAAACAGGAGCTGTTTAATGCCATTCTGTGCTAGGGGATCCAGCTAGCTTGAAGGAAACTTGCTTTAGTAGCAGTATTAGCACAGCACTGCATGCAAGCTCTAATACCTCTGGCAGGGAATGTGGCAGCATGCCTTGCTAGCTAGTTACTGGTGTTCCTGTATCTCCACTACCTTGCTGACACTTAACCTTGACATTGTTATGTGTGCCCTAATGTGAAAGGCACATCCACGTTAAACATTTTACTGAGTTCACCTTTCAGTGTGCAGTTGCTGCTATTATGTATGTTCTGCCACTGTATCCTGTCTTAGTTTTACATGTAATATAGTTTGTATTTCCCTTTCTCTGATCACACCCCATTAATCCTCTTCTACAATGCTAAATAACCCTTCCATTTTCTGGACTGTGCCCTGGAGTTCTAGGCACAGATTTCATTTTGCTTCCCACTTAGTTGGTGCTGACAGCTTAAGCTGCAGTCCAGCATGAGGATTGAGCAAGTGTTCATGGGGCTTAAGCATGAGATATGCTACTGGGGCAAGCAGATAGATTGCTTTACATCAGTGTCTCTTTGCACTTGTGCAGGAGAAGCCCGCCATCTGAGGAACCTTTCTAGGGCAAAGCAGTAAGGTAGAACATGCAAGAAAGTGTTGTCAACAGCATAGAGTAAACAAGGGGGGAAACTACTTATGCTGGAAGTAGCAGTCAACAAAGCGCTGTCAGAGACACACAGCAGTCCCTCGGAAAAAACACAAGTGTTGGTGCTTACAGCCTTTCAGTTATGAGTCTTTGGTGTTTTCTGTAACAAGAACAGGTAAGATGTTTTCAGGTCGTGATTTTTTAAACTGACAGCATGCCTTTGAAGTACATCTGTATAGAACAGCAATTATACCTAATATCCAATTAGTGTAAGCACTTCTTCCTTCTCCTGTGGCTCCCCTAGGATGCCATCCCTCTGCACATGGGAAGGTGCACAGCTATCTGGGAAGGACAAAGTGAAACAGCATGTGGGAGACAGAGCCATGGCAGCAGCACTGCTCACCTGGCCATGAAACACTTCCTCCTGGCAGAGATGAATTGCTCTGTGCAGACTTGGAGTGTTTCCATAAGGGTCTGGCACTGTTGAGCCGAAGGTGAACATTACAGCGTTTGCCTTCCCTTGCCAGAAGGGAGATGGGCTCTGTCAAGTAATAATTGTTTCTGCTACAGTATCTCCGCATTGTCTGATATCTCCATGTTCCTGTTTCCAGCACAGTTAGCAACTGAATAACATGCCTAAATAACCTGCTTATTTTCACTCTGAGAGAAGGGAACAGGAATAATATTATGCCACAGGAGCAGGGTAGCTAACAGTTCAGACATGATACTCTTTAAGTTTGAAAGAGTCTGTTGCTCTGTGACTTTCTTCCCCTCACACAGCACATAAGCAGTTATCTGTGCTGTCAGCAGTTTATCAGTGAGGCTTACAGACTCACCTAAGTGAACAGCAACAGCAACACATTGTTCTTCCCTCTCTTGCAGTGTTCTCTTTTAAAGAATGGTTTTGTGTCTGGTGCTGGCAGCACAGAGAGACAATGCAGTCATTTTCTTTGACTCCCTGCTGAACAGGTAAGTGAGGACAATATTGCTTTACCAGCACTGTCTCACCCCCTGCCAGAGAGCCTGTGATCTGGGGGAGGGTAGCTGCTTTTCTTCTCTATACTTCACTTCCATTTCAGACTCCCATGAGGTCAGGTGCCTCTCAAAGGCAACATAGCCTTCCTAAGTTATGTTGTTAATGGGTCAGCAGGTTTCTCAGTTTCAAAGCCATGTGTCCTACACTAGGCCCTTAAACACTGAGTAGTGGTGTCTGTGAGGCTTGGGGGCATGGTTCCATGGATACGGGGAATTCTCTGAAATAAGGGGTCTCACTGGGAATAAACCTTCTGAATCAATAAAATTCCTAGGAGAAATAGCTTAGCAGATTCTATGCTTGCTATCAAAAAAAAACCAACAAACAAACCAAACCAAACTTAAAATATGCCAGAGAGCAAAATCAAAAATGAGCCTCTTAAATAAATCACCAGAAATGCTGGGTAGAGGATATATGAGCCTGGTAAAACAAACAGAACCCCTCTGCAGGGACTGATTAGTGAAACGGAATGATTAGCAGGGCAATTAACCCACTGCTCCCCAGAGGGAAGGTTTCCTTGCACAGGGCTGGTATTTGGCAATGCCATGTGTGTGTGGCTCTTGCACATGTTTTCCTCTGGCAGGGGAAGCCAAGAGAGTCTTTTTTTCTGACACTGTTGGTGCTGAGCAGTTCAGCAGTGACACTGATAAGATTGTCATGACCATGGCTGTACCTCTGTTCATCTGGAGGACTTCCAGATAACACTGTCAGTGGGACAGGCATGTGGAATTCAAGGATGTCGTGGGTTTACAAGAATGAAGGGGGTCAAATATGAACCAAGCTTGTTCACAAATCTGGTCCAAGATGGTAGACACTATGGAGTTCTTGTAGTTTATTGAAACGTTATGGTGCTCGGTCACAAGGCCACTCCTTGGAAGAATAGTTGGAACAAACTTCATCAGTAACTTCTCAGAAATGTTTTGAACCCAATGACAAAATTTAGACCTTGCTTCCACTGATTTAAGATCACACCCTGGGGAGCCACATCCCAAACCTGTCACCCTGCAAGTACAGCACTAGGGAGAAGAATAGAGCAAGTTATCCAAGATCTTTCTAGTATGTTTTCTCCACTCCTTCCCTGGTTTATGGGGAAAAAGGGAGCTGTTGGGAAGCCCAGAGATCACTGCTGAACGTAGTTCTGTGAGAGTGGCTGTCAGCAGAGCTGACAGAGATCCCTCACCTCTTTGTTTTTCCCAGGCTTTTGTTCATCAGGGTCATGGGTGCTGCATAACAAGATCAGCTCCAACACAGTGCTTCCCTCTCTGTAGGCTTAACTTGATATGTTTTATGATTGCCAGTATCAAGGCAGCACCCCTAGAGCAAACCTTGTGATGTCTTCTCACTGCCGTTCACAGGGAGGAACAAGTGGCAGTCTCAGCTGTGTTTTCACCCCTCATCCTGCTCTGTGCCAGGGTGGCTGGCTCTCCGAAGGATAAACTTCCTTGCTGAACTGCAAAGTACATGCGCATAAATTCTGCCTGTTAGGAGGTACTCCCAAGGGGCAGGATCTGCTCTGCCTCTTACCCACAGTGCCACACGTAGTGATCCTGCAGCCATTTCAAACCAGCTGTACAAAATAATAACTGCCTTTGTGGTTGATGATGCTTGTCGAAGGGAGGATGGTGAGGTGTGCCCAAGGATGGGGACGAGGCAGAGATCCCTGGATAGATCCACCGTAGCCAACAATAAACTCACACCTTTATTGCAGCATAAGCATCATACTGTTTAAAATCAGCTTTGCAAAATATCTGTGAAAACCCAGGCTGACTCCACCAGTGTCTCCTAAGGACACTTCATGCTAAGACAGCTTCGTTTCAGAATAACATCTGAGGTTAATTACACTTACAGCTCCACCAGCAGGAGCCACGGGACCTTTCTTGTACCACCTAAATCACTGTATTTATTTCCCTCTTCCTGCCGCAGCCCAGGATTCCAGTACCTGCACAGGTTCTGGCCTGCATTTCAGCTGCATTGCTGAAGCACCTCAGTTTAAGAGATTATTTTACAGCCCTAGGAGTTGATTCACAGCTGAGCCACATTATTTAGGCTTTGTGCCACAGGGAGAAACGTTGCCATCTGTATGGAAGCCTGGGATATGATGTCAGAGATGGGCTGTGATAAAAAGGAGGAATCAGGTGTTGAGAGGAACAATGTGAGCTTTGCTAGTATAACTGCTCATAATTCATAGCCTATTAAAGCTTTCCTAAGCCAGCTCTAGCAGTGGCACCTCGAGGAGACATTCAGTTACTGGAGGATGTGCTGTGCAGAACAGTTGCTTTGAAAACAGACACAGACCCTTATAACTGTGCAGTGATTATTGTGCAGCAGCAGCACCCACTCTGCCTGTTCTCTGGACATCTATGAAGGCATTATTTCTGCACCAAAGAGCAGGAAGAAAAGAGAAAGGGACAACATTGATGCAGGTGGGGGCACAAAAGCAGCCTGTGATTTTGACTGGCTGCCAAGAGTGGAGCTGAAGCAGGAATCTGGGAGAATCTGGGAGGGTGCCAAGGGTAACTCAGAGGGCAGAGTGAAGTGTTTGGAAGAGGTGAGGGGAAGCTGAAGAGAGATGGGGACTGGGGCAGAATCCAAGGAATGAAGTGATACAATCCTATCTACAGACAAGGAAAACTGTGTGAGACTTACCTTGTTTGTTCTGTCAGCATCCAACTGCCTGGATCTCCAGTATAAAGCATTTGAATTTTCCCTGTCATAACTTGTTTTTACAGCCAGATTTCCAAGCTGCAGGGTGGCAGAAGGAAGAATTTACAAGTAGATTCAAAGCAGCTCCTGGAAGAAAGGCAGGCTCTGCTTTTAATGCATGACAAACAAGATTTAGCTGCCTTAATAGGTGATACTGATTTAATAGTGATTACTGCTGGCTACTTGAGCTTTTAAAAAGTACTTTCAGATGCCCACGAGATTCTTAGGACCTAACTATGTTGTGCACGGTCCTTATGAGCTCACCTTGTTAACATTGCACTGAACTCCATGAGCAGTGTTCAACTCCAGCACACCCAAAACTTAGCTCCAGCAGAAGAAAACCAGAGTATAGACTCGGCCTTACACCCTTCTGGTTTTAGACAATGAGTGCAATCAGAACAGAAGTCAAGTGTTAAGGAATTTAGCTGGATGGTTTTTTCTCTGATGAAACATTCTTACCAAGTGCTAATTGTTGTTAGCAGGGAGTGATGTTGTCCCTATAGGAAGCTCATCTCTGGGAGCTTTGTAGGGGAAGGAGGTGTAGAAGTAAAGAAAATAGGTGAACACATGAGATGTAAAAAACTTGAGCTGTTGAAATCTGCTGAAAAGTTGCCAAGCACAGTACCTAGATATGGGGGCAGGAAGCAGGGACTGGTTTCCAATACCACTCTGGAGAGTTTTCAAGCCTAAGACTTGAGTGTGCACAGAGTCAGTTTAAAGGGCGATTTTGAAATTTGTTCTTGCCTCTTAATTTCTCTTGAATATGCCTTATAGAATCATAGAACCACAGCCTGGTTTGGGTTGGAAAGGATCTTAAGATGATCTAGTTGCAAGCCCCTGCCATGGACAGGGACGCCTTACACTAGAGCATGTTGCCCAAGGCTCTGTCCAACCTGGCCTTGAACACAGCTAGGGATGGAGCATTTAACAGTTCTTTGGGCAACCTGTGCCAGTGCCTCACCACCCTCACAGTAAAGAACTTCTTCTTTATATCTAACTTGAAGTTCCCCTGTTTAAGTTTAAACCCAACACCCCTTGTCCTATTGCTACAGGTCAGCTCGTGTGTGGACCAGAGCAAAAGGACTAGTGAAGCAGACACTGCTGCTGAAGGCAGCTTAGATAGTCCTGGGGGTTGGGAAAAACACACAGATTATCTTTGTTGAGAAGACCACGCTTGCACAGAGCTGACTATCTACGTTTACATATATTTCCCATTGACCCAGAGACCCCATTATGCAACAGGTCATTACTGTTGGTTGAAGGCTTGTATTTTAAGAATCCAAATCCATTTATACAAAGCTTTGTAAAACCCAGGATTTAGCTGTGTAAAGAAGTTCAGTAACAGATGCACACAGCCAGAGCTGCTGGCACAAAGCATAGTCCTCCTCAGAGCTGGGTCATCTGCAGTTTCTGACAGTTTGGATGGCAAAGTAACACTGGCTTTTGTTTTCCTTTACCCCCAGGGTCAGCTGGCAGAAGCAGTCAGTCCTAGACACTGTGCAACATCTCTTTTATCCTCAAAATGAGAATCAGGCAAGTAGAGAAGTTTATGGTACAGATTTGTGTCCTTTGTGTCCCTGTGATGAATGAAAGCTGTCAAAATTGGTTGAATATTAGAAGAAAATTTTAACTTGTGTAAGACAGATGTGGTGCCTCATGAGAGCCACGAGTCTTGGCTTAAACCACAACACACTCTCTTCACATTACAATGGTGCCACTATTTTGAAACAAAATATTTGGAGATTTTGATAAAGATTCAATATTTTCCACAGGTGTCAGTTACTTTTTATGAAAAATCAACACTTAGTAAGATATCTGTGATATATGTCAATAATTAGTGACACAAAATGTTCATTCAGCCCTTTTGGCAAGCTGGCACATGTCCTGTGGTTCGGGAGTTCTGCCTCAGCCCATATCCAAATGGAAGAGGAGAAGTTAGGCCATTAGCTATTCCAGGGATATGCTATCTGAATATTTTTTCAGTAGTTCATCCCAAGAAGGGAAATGTTAAGTGGCATGTGGGCAGCTAATGGGAATAAACTGTATAAATATCCTTAAAACTCTGGCTGTTATCATCAAAGTTTAGTGCAAAACAAATGAGAGATTTGGATGGAGGAGGCAGTGCTTGAAGAATTAGGTGTAAAAGAACTGGGAAGGATGAGAACAGTAGCAAAGGGACAGGCCTCCCCCCTGGATCCCTTTTGCTTCCCCAAAAAAACACAGCAGGAGAGTGAGATGTGTTTGTAACCTCGTGTAACACATCAGAGCTGCTGCTTCAGTACCAGTGCTCTAAGGACTGAGTCTTAAAAGACACCAAACCCACTTTGAAGTCTGTGTTCCTGTTTTTAACACAGGCAAAACTGCCCCAAACTTCCTCAAAGTCATACAGCTGCTGTTTGCAGCAGCTTTCCCTGAGGCTTGGTAATGTTCTCCCTGGGTGTATCTGGGATTGCAGGCACTGCCAGGGAAGGTCTGTGATAGCTGCAAGGCTGTCATCGCATGGTGCTTGCCACTTCCAGAGTGCCAGGCTGTTGCCAAGTGATATGACAGGGCAGCAAGTCCAGGCTGTTTTCTGATTTGCTTTGAAAAGGACATAACATATCTCTGGCTGACATAAAATCCCTTCTGCTTCACAGCTATGGGGAATCAGCCTATCAGGAAGAGGCTTATAGTGCTTTCTGTGATTGATAAGAGGAAAACAAATATGCTCAGCCCTTCTCCCTGCTTCTGGCAGCCTGGGGCATTGAATCAGATCCCTCTGGTGCTGGTGGAAGCAGTGGCTACTCACAGCAGCTCAGAGTTTAGACCAAGAGTCTAGTCCCTGAACAGCGGTGGACGCCACACTCCACATTGTGGGTTATAAGATGCACAGCAGCAAGTAATGTTAATTTTCAAATAGTTCTTTTGCTCCAAAGTTCAGGGTAGGTTTAGAAATGGAGCACCTCTGCTATGAAGAAAAGCTGAGAGTGTTGGGATTGTTCAGCTTGGAGAAGACTCTGGGAGAACTTATAGCAGCCTTTCACTTAAAAGGGGCCTATAAGAAAGATGGGAAAAGACTTTTTAGCAGGGTCTCTTGCAATAGGATGAGGGGTGATGATTTTAAACTAAAAGAGGAAGATTCAGGCAGGATGTGGGGAAAATATCTTTACAGTGAGTGTTGTAAAATCCTAGCACACATTGTCCAGAGAGGTGGTGGATGCCCCATCCCTGGAGACATTCAAGGCCAGGCTGGATGTGGCTCTGGGCAACCTGATCGAGTTGAAGATGTCCCTGCTCATTGCATGGGGGTTGGATAGACGACCTTGGAAGGTCCCTTCCAACCCAAACTACTCTATGAGTCTATGATCACAAAGCTAGATCTGAGGAGCAAGCTCACCAGGGAATGATTGTACCTCAAAGGATGTGCCTAGAAATAGTGTTTGATCCTCTGATCTCCTGTTAATGAGTTTATGAAATGTCAGCCAGGATTTCCAGGTCAAAGCTAATGAGCAACACCATGATATCAGGCAAAGTTCAGGAGGGTTAAATGAACATGGATTTCAAATCCGCATGGTTTAAGCAGACCTGCGGTATTTACTGGTGGTGTTGAACCATGGAAGTGAAAAGGAATTTTGTACTTGCTCCCTATGTGATTTGGGACTAGGCAATAGGATGAGAAACCCTTTTTACAAATGTGGACTATTTTAGTGCTCATATCTGTGTCTGGGCTAGTTGCCTGCCTTCTTCTGCAGTCCCTAAGAGAAGCAGCATTTCTACAGCACTTTTAACCTGCCCTATTTGAAACAGGTGCCTTAGGAGCCGGTGAATCCATGCTTTAGAAGTTCTTTATGCTCATGCAGTGGACGGGCAGATGCCTGCTCCCCATGCAGGCTTCTTTTGGACACATGCAGCCCAGTTCATATCTGGAAATGATGAAGCCATGTTTTGTTGGGGAGATCATTAGGGGCTCTTGATCTTCCAGTGGACCTCTATAAAGTGGTCCCTTATTTCCCTGCATGGGGTCCATACCCAAACTGGAACCTTCCCAGCAATAAGAGCTGTCAGGGAGTGCGGTGCTCAGCCATTGGACTGGGATGTCCCATGGCTGAATAGTTTCTCCTCACACACACTATGGCTGGGATGAGATTATGAGGCTGGGGTGACCTCTGGTCACTGACCTGCCACTGTTAGCATGTCAAAGCAGGGAGACAGCACAGGCTCAGCACAGCCATTCCTCAGTATGAGCCCAGGGATGTGTAATCAAGGCTCCAGAGGCAGACAGTGCTAATCCCTCTGCTCTGCCTGGAGCCCTGGAGCTGTAGCCAGCAGCCACAACGGCTGCTCTAGCATCTTCCTCCCTGCAGAAACAGCCATAACTTGCAACTACACCAGAGCAACACAGGGAAAACACATCTCAGCCACCATTGGCATGGTCCTTAGCCTGTCAGCAGCAGGCAGAAGGGCTGGAGTCCCGTAAAAGAGACCTAAAATCCTATGAGGAGAGGCAGAGTGCTGGCAGGAAGAGGGGCAAAGGGCTGTCAGCACAGCATGCATAATGCTTTAGGGGAAAATGGTGTTCATTAACACAGTCAAGTAACAGACTGGTCCTGAAGCCCTTGTCACTGAGCTGGTCTCCCCATCCATGGAGCAGCCACGTAAGTGAGAGGTTTGGGAAGGAGAGGCAGAGCAGATGTGGAGGTAGTTAGACTTCCTGCATGGCACTTTGCATGTTGTTGGTTTTCTTCAGTTCCTTGAAAATGTGAATCTTGAGAACAGCCAAACAGTGGTCATGGCTAGCAGACATTTCCCTGCTGCGGGACACTCGGAGCTGCCTCTAGGCTGGGATTAATTGTACCTGGTAAACATCCTCACTGTGCTGCCTGCCTGCTGCTTGCACAGAAACCTACCTCTGAAAGAAGTGTCTCACAGAACTTACAGCTCTCCCCCAACCCCTTCCTTCTTTTCTCCCCAGGCTGAAGAGCTGCTCTGTTGCCTTTTTTGACTCCCTGACATCTGAGAGCATGCGCCAGATTGAATCCCGGGATTGCTAGCCAGTACGGTCCAAGCTTCCAGGCATGGGTGGATGCCGCTGCAGGTATCTGTGCAGATGGGCACTCAGGGGACACCCAGCCTCTAAGAGCACTGATGTTTGTTTGTCATTAAAACATAACATCTGAAGTATGGTATTAGCATCAGTAAGATAAATGAGAGTGGTGGGAGGCAGGATCAGTGCTCAAGAACAAATCTTTCTGAACCGTAGCTGTGGTTTCTAGTGGAATGCGTTCAGAGGCAATCTGCTTGTATTTGTGGAGCAGGGGTTGGAGCATTCCTGTGGCTGGAAAAACTCAGGAAGTAAAACAAATCCAGGGGCAGGTGCTTGGGACTGCATCTTCCCCAGTCCTCAGAGGCATTATGGAGAGACTCCATTTTCTGTTGCTGCTGTGGTTCTTTGAACCAAATACAAAAATCCAGTAAAAGAAATGGAAATAGTCTGAGGGAAGTCTGGGTCCCTGAAGAGTTCAGTACCATTGAGTAAGATTAAAAGGTGGACAGCTTAATGTTCTCTTATCCTCTGCTTCAGCAGTCCTGTTACAGCTGTCCTTGCCTAGCCCCAGCTCACTGCCCTCCTGTGGGCACACAACCCTGCCTCTTGTTCTTCCTTCCACAGCCCCCATGGATCCTTGCACAATTCATCCTCTGCCAGGTCCTTTATGTGAGCTATCAAGCAAGAAAGCTGACGTTAATACAAAGGTCCTCAGTCTTCCTGGAACCCACTGGTCCACAGCTCCTTTGGGGAAGATTCTTCTCAGCCCAGGAGGCCTCACGTTCCTACCTGCCCTGCTAAGGCAAAAAGTTGGATGTGCACGTGCCTCTGATTCCAGACATCACAGACACAGCAAGGACAGTCCCTGTGGGTTCTCCAGGCACTGTTAAGGCAGAGCAACGCGCGGCTGGCTGGCCAGCCCACCTCTGAGTGCTGCTAGTGGGGTGAACCACTTCTGTGCACAGCCTTTCCCTCTGTAAGAGCCCGGCACGAGTCCTCCTTCTCCACAGCCACTAGCTCACACAGTCTGTGAGAATACAATACCTCTGAGATCTCTGTCCCCTTTTGGACGAGGCTGAAAGTGCTCAGTAAGTACAAAAGCTGTCAGAGGTCTGGCCTTGCAAGCTCTGCTTCCTTCAGCCAGTAACAGTCCTAACACAGTCTCTCTCCTTCTCTAAGCTACCAAACGTCTTAAGAGCAAAATACAACAGAGCAAAACAGAAACAGCAAAAGAGCTGGGTGAAGAGGAGATGTGGACAGGGGGCCTGCTGCATCCTCACACAGTGGTTCAGTGTCAGAGCTTGGAAGTACCTCCAAAACTCTGCTTCCCAGCATCATTCTACCTGTACAGGCTGTTTGGGCTTTATGGTGGGTCTGAGTGTCTCTGAGGAGCAGCTCCAGAAGCATGTGCCTGTGAGGCAAGCAGGCAGCTGCTCTGCTCCCTTGGGAAGACAGGGCCCTGGGAGTCAGCGTGGTGGACAAGCCTGCTCTGCTCCTGCAGCTAAGTAGGCCATTTCCTGCACTCCAGGCACATTTCTGTCGTGCTTGTAAGCCATGTACAGCTTTGAGACAAATGAGAATTAAAAGGATCCACCCCCAGCACTTGGGGAATTTGATCTGGAAAAGGGGCCTGTTGGAATAAAGCACAGTCAGATAGCAGCTGAGAGACAAAGCCTGCAAAGCTATGTGCAAGAAAGGGGCATGCAGGGCCAGCAGCAACCCTGCACCCACCCAGCCCACCAGTGCACACAGGCCGCCACCAGTGCCATGTCTGACCCGCCTGGGCCCTCTGACCAGTGACAAATGGGATGATGGGGAGCTGGACATAAGGAGGTGATGCTCTGGTGACTGGCAGCAGGCACTGGGGAGGTGACATCCTGGTCAAACACCCCTGGCCCTATCCCGGCTGTCAGCAGGCTGGAGCTTCCTCAGCTTTATGGCAGGAGTTGAGACCATGGCTCATAATTCACCATGGAATAAACCAGGGCCTGGCACAAAACACATACCAGCCCCATTCCAGACAGCCTTGCTGCTGAGGCTTGCTCTTTGTGAGCCTCCATCCACCAATATGAACAGACCCATGCCTCAGTTTCCCACTAATGAAGTAGAGGTAAAAGCTCTGCCACACCAGACACACCAGCAACATCATAAGAATGGGACAGCACCCAGATATTTGGAGCATGAGGCTGCTGCAGTGTCTTTGTGTCTTTGATTCCTATTTTCAAGCCCAGCTAATTAGCCTCAGCATAACAAACAAGCACACCCTGCACAGAGCAGGGGAAAGCAGCATCCTCTGATATTTCCAAAATGCCAGGATTCCATAAATAACCCCACCAGCCTTTCCTCCCAGAGCACCCCACTCTTCTCCAGAGAGCTGACAACCCAGAGCACCATGGACCCAGCAGAAATCTATCCCATCAACCCTCCAACAGCTCCAGATCAGGCAAAGAAAGCTGTGGCTCACGCCCTGCTCTTCCCCACCACAAGGCAGCCAGATGAGCTAATCAGGGCTGAGGAGCAAATTAATGATTGCTGGAACCAGGAGAAAGGCAGATTTGATCGGAGATTGCCAGCTTTGCAGCTGGCTCCTACTTGCAAACAATTCATTTAGATTATGAAAGCAAGAAATTGAGTACAAAACCCCCTAGATTGTTTGCCTCCTAGAGAAAGAAAAGAAACGGAATTTTAGATTAAGAATTATGCATAATAGTATTAATTCCCTACCCTCTTGTGCCTCCCCGCCTGGAAAACCAGAGCTAATCAGAATTGAGCATTGTTCCACTGCCATGTCAGAGCTGCCTCAATGGAGGAGAGAAAATACAGTCAGTGGCATTTTGTGTTAACACCTTCTGGTCCTGCCATAAGGATGAGAGCATCCAGGGCTGATCTCCCAGTCAATTGATATCAACCTGGGTTCCCTTATCAGCACTGAGCCATGCACAGGCACATGGTTGTGTGAGTTGCAGGTGGAGGAGCTGAAATTTGATGCTCTCCATCACCTTTGTGCTGTGTTAAGCAGATTGGAAAACACCTGGAATTGAAACAACCCCCTAACACCAACATGTGGCTTTGATTTGGGCCAGAATAATTCTTTCCACCTTAAAGCTCACCCAGTTCCAACCCCCTGCCATGAGCAGGGACACCTTCCACTAGACTAGGTTGCTCCAAGCCCCATCCAACCTGGCCTTGAGCCCTGCCAGGGATGGGGCAACCACAGCTTCTCTGGGCAACCTGTGCCAACACCTCAGGACTCTCACAGGGAAGAGCTTCTGCCTAAGAGCTCATCTCAATCTTGTCTGTTTAAGTTTGAAAACATCATCTATTCACTCCAAAAAATATTTTATTCAGCCTAAAAATTATTTCTGCTCCAGTCCTATGCACATGAACCCCACAGAGCATAGGGGATGTCTCACATCACCACTCAGAATTGCTAGCCTGGAAACCCCTGCACAGCAAACAGGATTTACTGCCCTGCTGGCGAACTACCCATAAACTGGGCACTGGTTTTCATCTCCACAGGCCCATGGCTGCCTTCGGAAGCAAGAGGAGCTGATGGACCTGCTGGAGCTGTCCCCGGACCAGCCATCCTCATCAGGCTGGATGATCTTGATCCACATACTTCCCATGCTCACAAATTGCCTTGCTGGCATAAGCCATAAGTACCTCTCTCTTGGCTGAGAGCTGCCAGTGTTGGATTTTGGGGTGTCTTGGCATCTGGAGGGCTTGCTGGACCACCATACAAGAGACCTGGGCCATGCCAGAGAGCTGAAATGCTTCATGCATTGGTGAGACAACTGTTCAGGATGAGGACAGGGAAAATCATGCCTGACGAATCTGGTGGCCTTCCATGATGAGGTCATGGCATTGATGGATAAAGGCAGAGAAACTGATGTCATCTACCTGGACTTGTGCAAAGTGCTTGACGCTGTCCCACACGACATCCTTGTCCCTAAACTGGAGAGGCATGGATTTGACGGATGGGTCATTCAGTGGATAAGGAATTAGCTGGATAAACAGCAGCAGTCAACACTTGATGTCCAGATGGAGACCAGTGCCAAGTGGTGTCCCTCAGGAGCTGGCATTGGGCCCAGCACTATTTGACATCTTTGTGGACAATACGGACAGTGGAGTTGAGCACCCTCAGCAAGTGACACCACCACCAACCTGCATGATGGACATGCTGGAGGGAAGGGATGGGGTCCAGACAGACCTGGACAGACTGGAGAGGTGTGACCGTGTGAACCTCATGGAGTTCAACAAGGCCAAGTGCAAGGTCCTGCACCTGGGTCATGGCAATCCCCAGCACAAACATAGGCTGGGCAGAGACTGGATTGAGAGCAGCCTATGAGGAGGAGAAGGACTTGTGGGCTTTGGGTGATGATAAGCTCCCCATGACCCGGCTTCAGTGAGCCCTTGAGCCCAGAACACACCCCCACCATGTGCTGGGCTGCATCCCCAGAGCCTGAGCAGCAGGAGAGGGATTCTCCCCTTTTACTCTGCATGTGCCTCCCCTCTCATCTTCCTGGAGCGGGATCAGGATCCAGGCTCTAGTCCCAGCTCCGTTCCACAAGGCAAGCAGTGGCCTTTCTCCATTCCTTCCTCTCCATCTCCCAGGCCTGTCGCAGCAGCAGCCACTGATTAATTGGTATTTGGCAATTCCTCATGGACAGGGGCTGGAGGGGCACAAAGGGTGGTTTGTCTGCAAGGTTGGGAGCTGTGATGAAGCAGGGCTGGGGATGACTCAGATGTGGGTAATTAAACTGGTTGGAACAGTGGATGGCTCAGGCAGAGCGCAAGGAGCTCATGGAACTGCTGCACCTGGGTCATGCAGAAGACCAGCACCAGTAGAGCCTCTTGTGGGCTCACCTGACCCTGGTGGGACAAGATCCAACAGCAATGCCAGTCCCCAAAACAAAGATGCTCTGTTATGACAGGGCAGAAGCGCTGTGTGGACAGATTCACATGGTCAAGCTGGAGGCTGTTGGTACCGCAAGTGCTCCTGAGGAGCTCAGCAGAGATGCAGTAGGCTCAGTCAGTCCCCATCCATCCATCCATCCATCCATCCATCCATCCATCCATCCATCCATCCATCCATCCATCCATCCATCCATCCATCCATCCCCACTCCCAACATGCC